GTACCCAATTCTTGTTGAAGAAACAGGACATCAGCGCCAAACACAGGCCCATCACATTAACACAAACCAACTCATTCTCACCCAGAGCAGACACAGGCACACCTGGAGTGACGCCATCTGGACACCTGTGAAGGAGGTGATGATCTCTGAGGCGGCACAGTGTCTGCATACAAAGCCAGGGTGTCATTATGCTGCTGAAGTGTTTATGATGTTCATCAGATGGCCTCCACATGTTTCATCTGACACACAAATAAGACGGCGCTGGGTATCGATCACAAACAATCTTCTCTGTGATTCTCTGCCTTTCACTTTTGTTCCTTTTCCCAATTTCATACATATACTGTAATAATTTCTGGCATGCTTAACAGGTATGATGCCAAGGAACAATTTGTTTGTATAATCTTAAAGCTGCTTTTCAGGTAGAACGTATTCTATCAAAACAAAAAGTGTCTGAAAATAGTGAAATTATCGGATTTTAGATTGAATTATTTCACCATTTAAGCACATTTTTTGTTTAAAGCATATGGGAAAATCCAAAGACATCCTTTTCAGTTTAGTGAAAATAAAACAAAAAAAATCTGTACATCCATATCTCCAAATTATGTACATTAAAAAAACAAATAAGTATTTCTCTCTCTACTATCCTTACACTAGAAAACACATCTGGAAAATCTCCCGAAGCTCGAAACAAGCCTTTTTTTTCTTGGCTCATGAGAAGTTAACATCTTAAGGCTGCGCGGTGTTCACTGGACTGTGATGAACAAATCGCCATTTCACCTTTTTTTTCACACTCTGGAGATTTCTAACAAAGAGCTGTACAATGAATGTAAATCTGGGTAATGAGACATTGTTATGAGCTGTATAGTGATTGCATAATGGATCTGGAGCTGGAGTTATATAATTAAAATTACACATCTCATCAATAGGAACAAATTACTAAAACCCCGACATTGTGGAGATTTTATATATCTCGTAAAAAATTAAGCGAACAGTTCCAAGTAGCTTTTAAAAATGAATAAATGATCTGTTAGCTGATAAGCATCCCAGTAAAAGAATGAAGATAAGCTCTGGATATTAAAAATATAATACATGTATATATTATAGAAAGTCATCGGTATGTTATTCCAGCCTGGTATATAGTGCAGCTGAAATCAGAGATCGCTCGCTATCAAAATTATGGTAGTTAAAAAACATCCATCCCATAAACTTATATGAGCATTCCATCATTAGACAACATTTTTTTATCTGATCCCACCCACACCTCCACCCAGAGTTCCTGCTCTTACCTTCTGGTAGGAGATATAGGGTCCCCAAAGCAGGCTACACCATTACATACACGTTGTCCTGCCAATGTCCATTTAGCTATCTATCGCATCCTAACGTATTGTTTTGCAACGTATTGTTTTGCAACGTATCACATCGTATCGCATATCACACTGTATTGTATTGTATTGTCTCGCATGTATCGCATTGTATCGCATCGTACCCTATTGTATTGCATTGAGTCGAATCATATTGTATCTCATCGTACCGTATTGTTTCGCATTTCATTATATTGTATTGCATCGAGCTGCATTTTTTTCGCATTGTATTACAACGTATCGCATCTTATTGTATCGTATCACATTGTATTGTATTGCATCGTATCGTATCACATCGTATCGTGTCTCATCGTATCATATCACATCGTATCGTATAACAAATAGGCTTTGATAGTCAGAGAAGTAGATTAACTATAAAGCAAAAAGGCTGTGACAAGCCTTATATATCAGTGGTAACATCAAAGTATTTACAACACATGTAAGTTGTACTGACCTGTAATGAAGAAATACAAAAAATTACAAGACAAGGAGAAAGAAAAGGGAGGGGAACGGGACAAGAAGAGGAGAGACGAAAGGACATCATGTTATTTTTATCATTACAAGTTATTGTATTACTGTTGGGAGGGTCAGCACCCAGTTTATCACCTACACAAATGTGTCCAGGGTCCTCGACCACGCTTGATTTATTTCTTGTTTTACAGAAATTGTCAGGCTGCTTTATGATGTTGATTTTCTCCCGGACTAACATGGACATGTATGATCTATAGTCATAAATGAGGTGATATTTTTTGCCCACTTTTTCTTCCTTGTGCAACAGGTCCGTCTGAGCGTGGGAGGGAAGGCAGATATTTTGAAGTGTAATCAATAGTATTGCAGCATCAAAAGAATATTGCATTTCGGATGTAGAGGGGTTTCTGTCTGTGAAATGTCGCTACTGTGGAGGAGAGCTTTCTTTATCTCTGAAATTGAGATGGCTCCTTCTGTTGTTGCTGCAATGAGGCAATGGATTTCAGAGTAAGCTCACAGTGCATGGGAGTACTGGGACCATTTTCAAATCGTAAATGAAAATCACCAGACTGGTGGTGAAGCACACTTGAAAACCAAGGCTTTTTAGAAAGTCATTTAGGAAAACTTCAACAGTATTCTAGCTTCTTTCCTCATGGTTACTAATAATTCTTCCAAAGGTAAAGCTGTTCTGTGTTTGAGTTGAATACCTGCATTCATCATAAAACTGTTAATTGAAGCATTTCACTGAACAGACATCACCTCAGGGCATTATGAGAAGGCCATTAAAATGCAAAAAGGATTTCATACTTGACCTTGTCTACCGGATGTTATATAACAATGATTTTCTCTCCTCCTCTGGATCTCAAATGAAACAAACGTTCAAGTGCCAGAGGAAGAGGAGCGGTTCGTATCTTGACACAAACGGACCTTCATCTCTGCGTTATTAGGGTTAAGGATTAATGACCTTTCATTTGTCTGACGCTTTTATCCAAAGTGACTCACATAGGTGCAATCAACCACGGAGATACAAACTCAGAACAGCAATTATCCTAGAAGTTCATTAGCTTTCATTAAACTAAACACGTCTAAGTGCAATATACAGAAATAAGAAGTTTGCTTTAGTGTAGTTTGGAATGGGATGTTAACACCATAAAAATGTCTTTATCTATTTCTGATTTTAAAAATGGGAGACGGTTCATAATAAAATAGACTGATGAACAACAACTACAACAACAACGATCAACGTTTTGGGATCATTCAGCAGTTAGGATTTGATTAGTTTATATCTAAGGTTATTCGGGTTAGGGTTAGGTGTTCTGTAGATTGTAACTGTTTCTGTATAGTATATTAACTCTATTCAATTCTAAATGTGTAAGTAGGATATATTTGGAATATGTCTGTTGAGTGCCCTTATTCTCAAAAACCTATAGCTTATCAAGGCGTTCAATTTCATATTTCTCTATTATTTTTTATGATTGTACTTGTATTTTTAAGGGGGCCCTATGATGCTGTTTCCAGGTTCATATTTGTATTTTGAGCCTCCACTGTGATGTGTTTACATGCTGTAATGTTCTGACTGTGCTGCTGCACCTCTTTTCACACTGTTTTTGAACAAAATGAATTAAATTGTTTTTGTTTTAAGATTTTAATTGCTAAGGTGCAGTTAAAACAAGTGGGTTTTCTGTCTCTGACGTAAAATATTTGCACTTTCTGCAGTCCTGATATCAATGGGGGGGGGCTCGTTTCACCATTTTGGAACCACGAGCAGCAGGAGTTTGTCTGTTGAGAGATAACTGGGTACCATAACTTGTTTTTTCCGGGATCAGAGCTCTATAAAGAGGGAAGATGTGACTCATACTTTATTAACTGTCAGTCCGAGGCTGAAGACTGTCCCTAATATTGTAAGCATCTCACAGCCAGGCCTCTACAGTCAGTAACAATTGAAAGTCACCTAGAAAAGGCTATGTCACTCATGACACCTGGCCCTGATGGGTCTCTAAGCAACAAGTGCTAATGCATGAAACGAAGGAAAGGAAACAGCATCCACCTAATTACGTGCTGGTGGAAATCTGTCTCTGTTGTGCTGAGGGAGATAAAAGGAGAGACATGTTAGACAGGAATAACCCATCATTTGTGTCAACATGTAATCTTTAGTTACAGCATTTATTTTTGATTTTGAGCTCTCCGTGCTGCGTTTGTTTGTGTCTCTGTGGGGAAAATGTAATAACATAAATGATACACAGAGCTCAGAGATGCATTCATCTGAAGATGTCTCTCTGACTTGATGCCTCTTCAACATCTAATTGAACTCTTCATGTTTGCATCGTAGGCGTTGTTCTCACAAGAGTTGCTAGGGAACATCTAATGGCAGCATTGATGGGAATTTAAACATATTCAGAAAGAAGTGCAAACCATTTTGTACTTTCACTTTTTCAACAGGCAACTTGTGAACTCATCAGAATACTTACAAAAATAGATACCTATAACATAAGGTCAACGTGCTGAATGATGTAAAGGTGACAGCTTCGGAGTATATAATACTCATAAAAAGTGCTTTTAACAAAATGGCACAAATCGCAAACTAAAAAACTACCTTTTTGGCAACAAAATATAACAGTTTAAGAGACACAAGAATGTAAAAAGTGTGATAATAACACAAGTTACGCATTTTACCAGTAAATAATAACTGATCGTGTGCGGTAAATATACATCCAGCTGTGTGAAATGTATGGTTTTCTGCTGGATGCTGTCTATCAGCTGGCTAAGCCTCTGATGTCACTGAATGAGCAGTGCGGGCTCGCAGTGCGCACCTCCGGGGACGCAGCGGTGGCACAGGCAGTGGATTTTCTGCTCGTCCACTTTAACCCAGAAACCCTTTGTTTCTGCCATATTCACAGTTTCTGGATTTCAATCAGTGTCTAAGCTTCTTATAAGAAACTCCTTATCTGTATTGCTGCATTTGCATGAACTTTATTTGGAGCAGAGAATAAGGTAAGGTGGTGTTTCACTTGTGCACTGGTGTCCTTGAGCGCAGGCTGTTGCGCGCGGTTTCGCTGGAGACATATTCTGTTCTAATAGAGACATTTGCTTCTTTTTTTTTTTGTGGTAGCGATCATCTGAAATTCAGCTTGTTTTGGAGAGATTTCTGTTTAAGTTGAACAGCCGGGTGCAGGCAGCGATCGGCACCATGGAGAGCAGCGTGGTGCACATCTTCAAAGAGGACAGGTGTCCCTCGGAGGACTGTTTTCCAAACTTCACCGATCTACCCGGCTCCTCAGACGTCTTCAACTACACCTCCAACGGCACCTGGGACGCTGAACCCGAGCCCATGTCGCCCATCATCCCCATCATAGTCGCGTTGTACTCCGTGGTGTTTGTGGTGGGCTTGGCGGGCAATTGTTTGGTGATGTATGTCATCATCAGGTGAGTTTTCCTCTCTGATATATGTCCGTTATTCAAGTCATGCCAAAAGCAATGCGAGTTGCACGCAAATTCACATTAACTGCTCAATTCATATGGCAATAACTTTTTTTTTTTTTTTGGATCAATTGCATCCTCTTATCATAAGAACTAATCTGATTTTAAGGGAAACAGTTACATCTTGAATGTATGGCCATATTGTCTTTCTGTGCATTGAATGACCACAATACCTTAAACAGTGTAAAAGCTTTGAAATCAATATTTCCTCTCAATGGTCTTTTCATTTTAAGTGTTGTTTGTCAACCTGATTACAGTTCAAAGACTTAATTAGGCAAGACATGATGACAACTCAGATATTTTTTTTCTCCCCATTAGTTCCCTTTGTGTCATTTTGACTGCAATCTGTTTTATAGGATAACGGCTTAGCACTAAACTCCATCTCAGAAATGGATTTCATTAACCTTGTTCACCTTTAAAGGCTTAAACGACTATCTTATCCTTTCAACCTCTTCATGTCTCCTTCTCACAACAGATACACCAAAATGAAAACAGCCACCAACATCTACATCTTCAACCTGGCTGTGGCCGACGCTCTGGTCACCACCACCATGCCTTTCCAGAGCACCGACTACCTGCTGAGCTCATGGCCATTTGGCGAGGTGGCGTGCAAAGTTTTCATCTCCATCGATTATTACAACATGTTCACCAGCATCTTCACCCTGACCATGATGAGCGTGGACCGCTACGTGGCCGTGTGCCACCCCATCAAGGCCCTGGACTTCCGCACGCCCGTCAAGGCCAAGATCATCAACGTGGTCATCTGGCTGCTGTCGTCTGCTGCCGGGATCCCCGCCATGATACTGGGCAGCACCAAGACCAATAACGGTACCTTGACCTTTATACATTCACACTCCTAGGACTCCACCTCTGATGTGATCCATTCGGCATTAAAATTAACCTAAAAATAATACACCCTGTTATATTATTAAATTGCATTCTTGTATTATAACAACAATTTTAAAACCTAAAGGTAGGCTATCTGTAGCCTCTGATTCAAGGTACCAATCAAAAGCCTGTTGGGCGCCTGTAATGGCGCCACATTCCCTTTGAACGTGCATCATTGGTGTATCGAGTATTAAAGGTAGGGTAGGTAAGAATAGAGAAACCAGCTCGAGTGCGCTAGAAATTGAAAGTACACAACCAGCTAAAATGATTGGTCGTGCTTTTTACAGCACCACGGTTTCCACAGATGACATTTTTTAATGGATTTTTTGTCAAAGCACTTTGCTATCAGGATGTTAAGAGCATTCCATGGAATATAACAAAAAGTGTATCTCGAGCCGGTTTCTCAAACTTACCTACCCCACCTTTAAGAGCATTCCATGGAATATAACAAAAAGTGTTTCTGAAGTGAATTATCTACCCTACCTTTAAGCCACATTTGTAAACTTTTTTTCCCATCTACATATTTTAAGTGGGAAAAAAATGTGAGTCATTTTAAACATTGACATTAAGTTATCAGAGGAAGAAGTTTCACGAATGTTAGCAATAGCTTAGCAATAGGTTTAGCAATAGCTTAGCAATAGGTTTAGCAATAGCTTAGCAATAGCTTACCAATAGCTTAGCAACGCAAGGGGAAACACAGATTTTGAATTCTGAACGTTGATTAGAAACTGATTATAATCCAGGTACATTGCTTTGGAGAGGAGACCTCTTTAGTTAATTTACTCTTAATGTAAAACATGTCTATATCTTAAGTAATCAGAGGAACGAGCTTGACAAACATTAGCGGTTTGCTCGCAGCCAATAAAGCCAACATATGCGGTTCCATTATTGGCGGAATACTAATATTTAACTTGTAACAGCTTTCAATTGTGTTTTTAATGGTTAAAATCCTCATTCATCTTTGAATAGACTCAGCTTCCTGTGAAATCCTCCCTGACTGCTATGGTGTGGTTATGCGTTGAAGATAACCAACCCTATGATCCCTATCTACTTCACCACACCACCAACCCCTAGGCTCTTACGGGCAGATAATGACATAGTGTGTGTTGATAGAAGTTATAAGCCTTTCTGCTCATCTCTCTCTGGTTCAGTCCCTCCCTGCTAAGTAGACAAAAGATCTATCAGCTGCAAAAGGGCTCTAACAAGCCATTTCAAACTTCAAGCCCCACTTCATAGCACCAACCGTTCCTTAAATATCTCAATTAGATGCAGCAAGTATCCTTCTTTCCTGAAGAGGATGTTCTGTAGGTTTGATGAGATCCTGCATTGCATCTTTCTGAATAGATGAAGCAATTATAGACATTATAGGTCCTTCTAGTTAATAGAGCTCAAAGGAGGCATTTTTTTCCAGCAAAAGTTTGATAGATCGTGCACGATTATAAAGCTCAATGCACTATGAGACTGGGTGACGAACCGGATTCTGGCTGAGTACTCTTTGTCTTTTTGGTTTCCTCTGAATTTGGGGTTAGGTTTATTATGGCTTTTCTTTGTGTTTGACTGGTAAAACTGTTGTTCTGGGACTAACAGGGACTACAGAGTGTGCCCTGCAGTTCCCTGAACCCTACAGCTACTGGGACACCCTGATGAAGATCTGCGTCTTCATCTTTGGCTTCGTGGCACCCGTCATCATCATCACCGTCTGCTACACGCTGATGGTGCTGCGTCTGAAGAGCGTGCGCCTGCTGTCGGGCTCACGAGAGAAGGACCGTAACCTCCGCCGGATCACGCGCCTGGTCCTGGTGGTGGTCGCCGTCTTCGTGGTGTGCTGGACGCCCATCCACATCTTCATCTTAGTCAAGGCGTTGTCTGGCAACGTTCCCGAGACCACCGCCGTCATGGCCGCCTACTTCTTCTGTGTGGCGCTGGGCTACACCAACAGCAGCCTCAACCCCATCCTCTACGCCTTCCTGGACGAGAACTTCAAGAGGTGCTTCAGGGACTTCTGCTGCCCCGGAGTCAAAGGACACGGAGACTCTCATGGGGTGAGTCGGGTGAGGAGCACCCTGCGGGACCACTCGTGTCCCACAGAGGCCCGGGGGGGTGGGAGGCAGGCCCGGCCCGTATGACTAGCCATGGACACGTCCTTCATGCCCTGTCAGAGCTGGGAGGACTCCAACGACCTGCCGACTCAAGTCACCACTGCCATCTGAGGGAGGGGCTAAAGCCAGGGCTAGCTTTTATTTATTTATCCAGCATGATGCTCAGATACTCGACAGCCAGGTTTACTTAAAGGTCAAGTGTGTAGGTTTTAGTGTCATAGTGTCATAAACCCAACTATTCGTAAGTATGTTGGCACTTCTGGTTCCCTCATCTTGGGACTTCTGGCGATTTCATTTACGCTTCAACAATTATAAATCTAGTGTTACTGCAAGTCGACCGCTGATCATTTACTACATTTACAACTTAATTGACTATTTACTACATGATAGCAATTCTTATTACTATATGTAACAGTGACAATGATTGTGCTTGGGGCTAAGGGCTACACACAGGGCAGAGAAGTGAAAAAGTAGTGAGACATTTTTCTTTTAAAGTTTGTTTTTCCGTGGGATCTGTTGACATTTAGAAAAATAAAGATTGTTGGAACAATCATTTAAAATGTACTTTAGGTTTAAGACTTTGAGACCGTGATTGTGAAGTGTAGTTAATGCCTCTGGAGTCACAACCCAGATAATAAATCTAATATTTTGAAATGCATAAAATGTACAAAGCTGAAATCCAGAAAAGAAAAGAAAAGTGTCATTATTGTTCATATTGTTGGTATGAACAATGAACATATGATTAAGATGAGACAAACCAAAAAATATTTATTATTATGTAGCTTGACCAGATTTTGTTCACCTTACTTGGTAAGTCAACTAGTGCTTTGTGAACAAAATTTAAAAAAGAAATCAGCCCTAATTATTTCGGGAACAAACTGCATTATGGGCATTGTTTTTAACTGATTGTTTATTTTTGTGAATTGTATTTTTGATGCTGTAAAAATGTGTGAATAGTCTATATATCATTGGCAGTGAACCCATGAAAAATATATAGGGAGGCTGTGGCTCAGTGGGTAGTGTGATGGACTTCGAATCAGGGGGTAGCAAGTTTGAGTCCCACTGTAGTCAGCATGTCATTGTGTCCCTGGGCAAGACACTTCACCCCAAATTGCGACTGTGGGGATTGTCCACAGTACTGAATGTATGTAAGTCGCTTTGGATAACAGCGTCTAACAAAATGACATGTAATATAGTAATCTCTCAGGGATCATCCTGTGTAATTCACCACTAGAACGTACTACATTAAGTATTTTCCTGATGGCTGACTTTGATGAGGCTTTGGTCTCAAAGCTATGTGCACAGTTTGTTCTTTGAAGCCATTTTAACAAACTACAATTACATCTGACATGGATCCACACCTTTTATTCCAGGCAGTAGGTGTTGGTTGTATACATTGTTACGTCAACCTGGTCTGTTCACACCTTGTCTGAAATACTAGTTATTGGAAAAACTGGGTTACAGCGCTCCAAGGAAACAGCTCACATGACAACCACATGTATCAATCCAACATGCCTTTTGGTGTTTAATGCAATTCAATGTTCATACTGTAAATAACAATGAACTCATTAGTTTATTGTCTTGGAAATGTACATGTAACTGATTACTGTCGTTGTTTCCTGAATTATTTTAGCTTTCATATGAGTCACTAGATCAAATCAAATCATGCTTGTGATGGTTTTTCTTAATGAAGAGCAACCTATTAATATATGTATCTGTCTAAATCTGATAGGGTAGTTATCGCAGAACATCTTTTGTTGTGCCTTTTTATGTGTGCCTTATATTAATTGGCCTCTGAACTCAGATATTTTGCTTATTTTTAAAAGATCAGCAATTAGCCACATCCATTTTTGTGCTGCCTTTCTTTCCCTTTAATGATATGAAAGTATGTTGTGGTATAAACGTACTGCTTTTAATTATTGTAGCACTAGAAGTCCTGAGGACCCCTGGTATGTATTTCTTATCTATTCCTCAAATACTGTATTTTAAACAATAGAAAATATTGTTTTCCTTTTCAAATGATCAGCCCAGGTCTGAGCACCACATACTGTATGTATAATGTGCTGCTGCATTATAAATTGACTGTATCTGTTGGATATGTTGCTGTATCTTTTAGCTTTAAATATCAAAACATGCTCCATGTGTCACATTAAAGCGGTGAAAAGTGAGTTTGCTTCATTTAAAGATCAATATCAAAGTGTATCCTCTGTGTTCACTTCAACTCAACCCAAAGTAGGTGTTTCCTTTTTTCGTTGGTGGCCATGCGCTAAATTGCGTTATGACCTTATAGATATATACAGTCTATGGTTGCTGCCCATTTGGTTTGAAAAAAATTGTATTGCTATGTTCATGTTGATAGCATTTAGTGTCATGTCTAATTACAGAATCATTTGGTAGTTAGGGAAGAATAGCGTATAACTGCAGAATATTTTCAATCTAATACAGACATTTGTATTTAATATCTAATTATGATCTTGTAAATGGTGTCTAATTGTGCATTAGTATGACCTGTTTGGTTTCTATGAAGTTTATTTTGGGTCTATTGGGACTATGCTCCAGCTGAAACACTACTCATGTATTATATTTGATAATACTGTAGTTACAATACTTGTGCTAATACCAGTACTGCTATATAATTATTACTGACACGCCTGCTTTCTCCTGCCGCTACTTCCACTACGCCTCGCTTTTGCTAGTTTGAGGCTTCCGCTTTTTAAAATTGTGGATATAATTGGAAAGGACAAAGGTTTTTCCTAGTGGTGTGTAGAGGGATTCTCAGAAATTTGAGAGGCAAATTAAATCAGTCAGTTCCTGTGTGCATTGATTATGCTTTCAGCCATAATGACCAAGATTACTGCAGTTTTCTGTCTGTCAAGGTCTGTGTGCATTGGGAAGCCATTACATAGCCAGGTTCAGAAATACGCTCCTGTGCCTAATTAGCCTCTAATAGACTTTATCGTTCAGGGGAAAACCGTCAATCACTGCAGCTGCATAAAGCACATCCTAAAACAATGATTGACAAAAACAGAATTTGAACATGCATGTGCTATTACTTGTTTATGTATTTACTGGTTTTCAAAATACATAAATTGAGAACAGGTCTAAGGTTGCCAGTTTGGCTTTTGTTGATACATATACATTTACAAACAGGCGGTTCATAAATTAACTAAAATAAATGATCCATGACACACAGTGAAGTCTACATATAGTAACCCTCTTAATCATGAAACCATTTTGATTTAAAAAAAACACTAATACTTTTATGATTACCTTTGTTTGCTACCAAATCATATTTACATTCAGATGGGGTTATATTCCTATAGATGTAAGAAATACTCAGACCTCACACTTAAGTACAATTTGCAGTACAGAAGACTCCTGCATTTAAAATCTTCCTTAGGTAAAAGTACAAAAGTATTAGTAAAAAAATATATTTAAAGTACCAAAAGTGTTATAGCCCCTTTCAGAATAATGTATATCAACATACCGGATTATGAATATTGAAGCATTATTGGGTTTATCACTGATGTCAAATGTTGAGCTAATTTAAAATACTTTGTATACTGATCCTGGAAATATTAACCTATTATGTCATCATTTATTAGTTGATGTATCTATTGTATTGCTAATAATCCAAGTCTTTAAAGTCACAAAAGTTTTCAGATAAATGTAGTGGAGTAAAGTTAGGTCAACAATATAATTAAAAGCTGTATTCAATCCCTCTGTATCTGCAGTGTGGAGGTTTAACAAAGACTAGTGCATCTGCGGGGACAATGGGTTTTCACTACAGCTCATGTTCAGCTATTCGCCACACGGGGGCAGGCGTGTTTGGAGAAAATACCTCATCTCATTCGCCACAACCTTTCACACCAACCAATAGGAACCGTTTGCGTCTGAACCGTTACTTCCGGGTGTAAGTCCGTTTTCATTTGATGATTCTTTGTATTTCATCTAAATAAAGCTACGAAATAAAGCTACAAAACGTTTAGAAAATGAACCGAATATTTGGACGTGGAAAGCCGAAGTCGCCTACTCCAAATCTGTCGGACTGTATCGGAAATGTGAGTCTCTGTTTTGTTGTTTACAACCTCAGGTGCCATTACTGAGCTAACACTGCTAACATGCTTCGGTTAATAAACACCTGCCCCACTACCAGCAATATAAATACCCCCTCGCTTTTATTTTTCATTCTGGTTTAGACTGTGAAATAGGTATATATTTGTTAACCAACAGCCGTCAATTATTTTCCTTTGCTCATGCTTTTACACCTCTAGCTTTCTTATCCTTATATATTCCAGGGTCTTGATTGTGAAATGAGAGCTATCAATTCAGGTTAATGGGGTTTATTAGCATGACATTTGACATGTGTTTCCTAAGCAAATACAATTATGAAATTCAAAGGCAGCGCAAATAACATTTATTTATTTATATAATTTATAACTCAAGCAAAATGACAACAAATAATAATAACAAATACAGTGAAATACATTTCAATCAATGAAAGAACCAAAACAAGTGATTTACAATATTAGTTGTTAGAATAAACGAGATGATAATATAACTAAATCAAATTAAAAAAATTATATGTATATTTATTTATATTGTTTGGGTCGGGGGAATGTCTAAAGTTAAGAAAAAATCGTCTTGCCCACAACTTTGAGGTGGTTTCAAGGTATTTATCATAATAGGCTACGAGCTTTAGGTGTTTGAAACATATTGACCTAGAGAAAAATACACTAAATGTAAGAAAAATATTGATGCAAACATATTACTCTTTGCATCTCTCCTTGATTTGCCAAATTAAGAGATTATTGAGTTTGGGAACATAGTAGCCTATGCTGTTTATGCGCTTTCTGTCTCCCTTTCTGTTCTCCACATGCAGCACACAGACCGGGTATTAAGGCTGTGTGTTTGTTCTGCAAGGAGGCTGCAAATCAATACTCCTCTAATCAACCCCCTCTTTTCTGCAGGTTGATGCAAGATCAGAGTCCATAGAGAAGAAGATTGGCAGACTAGACGTTGAGCTTGTGAAGTACAAAGATCAGATGAAGAAGATGAGAGACGGGCCCTCGAAGGTATCACAAACACAACAAGTAAACCACAGGAATTATGAAGATTACAAGAGTATTTTCAGGTTAATGCAACATGATAGGGCTGCTCGATTATGGCAAAAATCATAATCTCGATTATTTGGGTCAATAATTGTAATTGCGATTATGTAAATTCTATTATTCATTGACTTTGAAAACATCCATTAATTGGAGAAAAAAAATGTTAACAGTATGTTTGTAACAGTTGATTACCCTGAACTTTAAGTATAATTCAACTGAAAAACCCCAAAAAAAAATAAATAAATAAATAAAAAAATCGTTTTATTTCGATTACGTTGTTTTCGTAATCATTGCAAGCCATAATCGTAATCTCGATTAAAATACGATTAATTGAGCAGCCCTACAACATGATTCATTTTTTTTTTAATACAGAACATGGTCAAACAGAAGGCTTTGAGAGTCCTGAAGCAGAAGAGAATGTGAGTCCACTGCACAGTTTATACCCTAAGATGTATACATAAATAAGTACTGTATCAATATGTTTCTGTATGGAAATGCCATATATGTCAATACTATAATTCATAAGTTGTGTCACCATTACAGGGTTACTTTTCAGTTTCCTTGGTTATGATTCATGATGAATACAGTTATGGGCTTCATTCTTCATTAAAAAATGCTTGCATGTTACAAATATTAGCCAATATATGGCCACTCAAATGTCTATCTATTGCAGCCTTAAAAAATCCAGTATTGGAATGTCTCTACTTAGAATAATATGAAGTGCTCATTGTTTTAAAACTCACCTTTGTTTGTTTTACGCAGGTATGAAGGTCAAAGAGAGCAGCTGGCTCAGCAGTCTTTCAACATGGAGCAGACAAACTACACCATCCAGACATTAAAGGACACCAAAACAACCGTAAGAGCCAAACGACTTGATAAGCAAACTTAGTCATATGTGTTAAGTAAGGGATGAAACGTTGTCATGCCAAACAGTCCTCTCGTGCTGTCTTAGATACCTAAGGAGTGCCTGAGACAAGAAATCTCACATATTCAGATTCAGACGTTTCTTCATCTTTTTCCATGTGTCTCTACCTGAAAAAGACACATAACTGATTCTATTCCAGGGCTAATAATGTCCTTTTTACCAATGACAAAATATAAACCTTGTGCAATGTATTTTCTGTTTACAGGTGGAGGCCATGAAGATCGGTGCAAAGGAAATGAAAAGAGCTTACCAGGACGTCAAAGTTGATCAAATCGATGTGGGTTTACCGCTAAACTGTTTGTGTTATAATTCAATAATAGGTACACTGAACATCAATGCTAACAAAGGATCATCTATTTTCTCTATTTGTGCCTCAGAATGTCCTAAACTATGTCAAGACGTACCCTTGTTTCATTCAGAGGTATGATACATATTGAGTGACCATGTGTGTTTGATATTTCAGGATCTACAGGACCAACTGGGGGACATGATGGAGGATGCCAGCGAGGTCCAAGAGGCGCTGAGCCGCAGCTACGGCACTCCAGATATAGACGAGGATGATCTTGAAGCAGGTATACCTGACATGTTTGTTTTTTATTTAGTCTCTGGGCCCACGCCATTTTGATGCTGCTAGTTTAATAAAGAAACAACTAATGGTTCTTTCTAAGCTTTTCAAAATAGAACACAAAATACTTTAAAAATTCTGAAACAAGAATCAGAAACAGGTTTATTACCAGATAGGTTTATACGTACGAGGAATTTGACTTGATTTAACCAGAATTAAAAACACAGGTAGAGAACTGTAGAATGTAACTATTGTTCACGCTCACAGGCAAACATGAAAGTAATTGACTGTAGATCTGCACAATTTGGGAAAAATGACTCATCGTGATAATTTTCACTGGTATTCCAATTGCGATATGATATTCATGATATTTAAGGGAATGATCATTTTGCATCATTATTCTCAATATCATTGAAAAACATATTTAGATAACTTTTTAAGAGGATCTGTAGCAAACAAAAAGAGGATTTGTAGCACCTCTGCAGCACCACGATACTTTAGATTTAAATGTGATTCTTATGACATATTTAGAATTTAACAAATATTGTTCCTCCTGCGATTTGAATATTGCACCAGTCCATGTTGCAATTGCTATACGTTTGCGATTAATGGTGCAGCCCTTATTGATTGATACAAATAGTCTGTCATATTCACTCTTTTAACAATTGAGAAAAATCTAGTGGTGGAAAATCTGTTGTTGGGATGCGAGCTTGGCCAAACCTGCTACAGCGCGTGCAGTACTGTGTTGATGGTGTGACTGTGTTTCAGAGCTGGACGCGCTGGGCGACGAGCTGCTGCTGGACGACGACAGCTCGTACCTGGAGGATGCCTCGGCCTCCCCATCCATCCCCGAGGGAATGCCCAGCGACGCCAAGAAAAACAAGGTAACAGTATTCAGAAGATCGTGGTCACTAACACTTTATAATGAAGGCACCAAGTGGAGAATTACAGAATAAAGAATGCATGGAAGTGAAATAAAAATAAAGATTTGCATGCGTCACGTTTACAACATAATGTGTGTTTCCTAAAGTAAAAATGGTCATGCAGTTAACGGGCTATAATGTGTGAGACTGTTGGAATCATATTCAGTGTTTTGCTCCACTAAAAATGATCAATAAAAAGAGCAAGTCCAAATAAAAACGAGCTCAATATAACCCGAATGATGACTGTATGCATGCCACATTTTCACTTTGAGCAAACAAGATGAACTTGTTATTAGATTGGTCTTTTAAGCTGTTGGGGGCCTCGGATAACCTCTGTTTTTTAAGTGTTTTGTTTTTGTCATTTCAGGACGGCGTTCTGGTGGATGAGTTCGGCCTGCCACAGATTCCTGCCTCGTAAACAAGGGATGGATTAAAGCAACTGCACTTCAACTGAAAACACTTTTATAAGAGTAACATTTATACATGCAAAAGGTTTGACCTGAGAACATTACAATTTTGAAGCCATCCGTGTATTGGGTTGTGTATTTTTAACACTACCGTGCTAGCATGTGGCCTTGTGTGACCTTTTTTTAAAAACATGATTCCCCTTTCGTTTGTTTTCGTCCTCCTGTCTAGCACTTATCCATCAGTCTCGTCCATCACCAGTATTACCAAGCTCATTTTTATTTGTCTCAATTGTGTTCTTGTTTTGTGTGTTGTTCGGTCATCACTGTTATGTTTTAGTTTTGTCTTGCAAGTGGAGATTATTCTATTATTTTAAACATGCAAATTAAATTATGTGTTTTAACTTACCACTGCATTCTTTGGTTAATTATTTTTCAACCAGGACACCAAATCATTGCATTTAACATCTTTAAGTCACTGTGAAGATGCGAGGCACTTGTATACATATTAAAGTGCTTTTTCCTTTATAAATACGCTACTCAAGTACAGATTTTAGGTACCTGTACTTTACCGAAGTATTTCCATTTTATAACACTTTATACTTCTACTCTATTACATTTTGGAACCAAATGTTGTATCTACTCCACTGTATTTATTTTACAGATGTATTTACTAGTTTCTTATAAATCCAGATTTTGACACACTATACTTCGGAAAAACATTATTTGGTATAGATTAATCCATCCAGTATTATATTTAAGTGACTAGAAAAAGAGATGTCTATAAACATAAAGCCAACCATATTACAGAGAGACATTACAAACAACTTTGTACATACTTTCCTAAAAAGGTCTCTTTTTGATGTTAACTCAATGTGTAAAAATGTTGAAAACGTCTTAATCCAATTCTCTATTATTCAATACATCAGGGCCGGCCCTAGACTTTTGGGGGCCCTAAGCGAGCTTTGGCTTGGGCGCCCCCCTCACTCTAGCGCGTTCTCACTACACACAACACGGAACCAACTTTTGTCTTATGATGTTAACATAAGCACACATATTGTATAAATAACCATGTAAACACCTTGGACCTAACCTCCTCTAGGGGGGTCCTCACCTCCTATAGGGGGGTCCGGGGGCAAGCTCCTCCGGGAAGATTTTTTTTAAAATATTGAAGTTAAAGCATCAATCTGTTGCACTTTGAGAGCAACATGAAGATATCTATGGATACATCTCTCAACACCCATGTGAAACAGAACTGTAAACAGATTTTTCTTTATGGACATTTTACAAATCACTGCCCTTTCAAACTGTATTCTTGTTTTACTGTCACCAGCTTGATCGATGGAGTTGGCTTCTAGGGTGCAGTGACGCGTCCCAAAACCCTTTATAATCTATCGATTAGATTTTATGATTCGAACATTATAAAAGTAGGGAAGACATGTGGAGATTATTAATCTCCACATGTCTTCCCTACTTTTATAATGTTCGAATCATAAAATCTAATCGATAGATTATAAAGGGTTTTGGGACGCGTCACTGCACCCTAGAAGNAAGAAAAGAATCCAGACATCCTGCAAGACGCGTACTCGTGACAAGTGGAAATCTTGGTGGTAGTAACAAAAACAACAATTTAAACATTTCACCTACATTAAATTACTTTTTGAATTGCAGCAATGACATGTCATTAGCTTATGGTAAACATGTTTTATTTCTTACACAATAATGGATTCATATGAAGTTGTGTCAAATGAAAAAGTACAACTTTGACTCTCCTTTTATCTCTGTTTTTGGTCTCCACCACCTCTCGAGTAAATCACATGGCTCTACAGCAGCTAAATGCTAACCTGCCATGCTGCTAAAAATGTGCTCAAAGATGCTAAAACACGTCAGAGCTAAGTGGGACTATTGGGTTTTACAGTATACATTGTCATCATTTGTAATTGCTAATATAGAATTGTATGCAGCTTAAGTTTCTACTTATTGTATGTCTCGTATAGAACACTTTTACAGCGTGTAAGTTAAATGTGAATTGTGATATACAACAGAAGTTCGCCGGCCATCTTTGAAACTAAAATAAAAAGTCACTCACGTGGTTTAGGATCGAGTGGGCCTGCTTCTGCGCCCTCCTGGAACCCTGCAGAGAAATATATCTCTCAATAACCATGTCGTGTTAGTCACAACAGATTTAGGAAACACACATTAGTCAAATATGCTAAAACGGCAAAACATTCATTTAAGCTTGAAATGAAGGACCTTTCTTTCAGTCAGCCTTGATCCTTTCATACCAGATCAGAGTGGTGCGCATTTAAACTACTTTGAACTTCAACCTTTAACCGTATTAGACAGCTGCAGAGAAGACAGATGAGAAAAAGCGGTGACTTACTTTTGATAACAATATAAGCCACAGAGGAAGCTTCTCCTTTCACATTGAGGGCAGAGGCGTAATACTGAGCAGTGTCAAGGAAATCACAGCTGGAAATAAAAATGTAGACATGGTGAATAACCGGCATCTCTTCAGAATTATTGTTAACATAAATCTTTCAGTTTGGGGTAATGTGCATTTTCTGGGGTACATCTCATTCATTGTAATGCAGTGGGAGCTAAATGATTACCTACTTCTTGATCTCCAGGGAGTGCATGTTGTAACTGTTCTCAACTGTGTACTTCTCGGGCTTGGCCTTGGCATCAATGAGCACATTGTTTTTGTACCTTGAAGACAGGAGAAAGACAGCAAGTTTATTTTTACCGTTGTCTTCAGAGGCTGTAATTACAGAGGAGTGTGTGTGTTTGTGTTTGTGTTCCGACGGTGGAAAACAGAATTGTCGGATGACGAGGGCTTTGGATGGAAACTTCTCTATGACACAAACACACACACACACACACACACACACACACACACACACACACACACACACACACACACACACACACACACACACACACACACACACACACACACACACGACTGATCCCCTCTCAGCAGCCTCTTTATCTTGTGACTCAGAGGAGTTGGAGTGTGTCTTACCAGGCGATCCTAGGTTTGGGCCATCCAGCCACAGTGCAGTGCAGCTTCACGGTCTTCCCCTCCCAGACAGTTTGACCACGGGGCTTGATGATAAACTCTGGAAGGTGTGTCAGGCTGTCTGGGTTCATCTTCTTACGGAACTCTGCCCACTCCTCCAACTTTAGCAAAAGAGATGCAGTTTGTCACATAAAGCTCATAAGCATTTGCAGGCTTGTTTGATTTTGAAAAAGGACACAATCTTGTTTTCACAAATTCACAAAAGGAATGAAAAGGATTTACAGTCTTGCCCAGTTCCATGCGTCCAGCCACTTCCCTGATATGCGTGGTTCTGGTTTGCTTCTCCACTTTTTTGACCTCCACCGCCTCCCTGGCCTCCCTGACAAACAGGTTCCTCATGGCCACATAGTTAATCCCCTCCTCCGTGACATCCTCCTCGTGGGACTCAATCAGACCGCGAACAGCTTCATGACTGATGAACAACAGAACACAGACATATAAGATCAGTTTAAACTTTGGAAAATACTTCATTTAGATTCAAAAGACTACATCAATATCTTGAAACAGTGGTATTGACTGCTTTGAATTTAGGAATATCAATCAATTATGTCTTGTTGTGTCTTCACTCACCTGGCTCTAAATACGGGAATGACATAGCCGATGACTTCCTTGTCCATGTCGATTGCAAGGTAGGTGCGTTTGGCTCTCTTGGGTAGTGGGCTCAGTTTAACCACCTCCTGCCCCTTCTCTGTCTTCACAGTGGTCTGCAGGCTTAGAGGCGATAGACAACAATCACAACACTTGCAAAAAAACAAACAACATTCAGTAAATCATTAAGTATTTCAAATACATTAAATGCCACATTTGTTTTTGCAAAAAAGCCACAAAAGCTTAAGCCTTTCTTAAAAGGACACAGCTAATAATATTCTATGTCTTACCTACTGGCAGTACATTCTTTGATTTCTATCAATATTTAATCCTTCTATTGATTTTGTCTGTCGATACAGTCCCATATATTTTATTTCTCCCATACTCTTCCATAAAAACACACAAATAAGCCATTGTGTTGCACTGGGTTCTGTGATTGCAATAAACATGGGTAGTGAAGTTTATTTTAACTCAGTCCGACACACACTGACCTGCTGCTATGAATACCAACGCATATTAATGTGCGGCTGTAAATAGTTTCCAACAAATACACTATTTATTCCTGTTTAAGTCACCTTTGATACAAACTAGTGCCCAGCTGTTTTGTTAACAAACTAAATGATTGTGACCCATTTTCAAAGATGTACTTCTTCAGTTCCCTTATACACAGGGACTAATATAATCTTCATATTCGTCATTTTATGTTTTTTCTGGACATGAACAAAATACTGCAAGTGTTATCCATTGATTGAATTTACATTTTTTGTAAGTAACTTTAGTGTTACTAATGCACTTAAAGCAGATTATTGATACAAATTAAATTAAAATACTCATTCTTGATTACCAACAATTTTGCTAATTTAATTCTCATTAGTTAAAGATGAACCATTGGATAAATCACACCTGAACATGGAGTACATACAGCACATCGGCTTGTATGTAGTTATTTGAACTAGAAGTAGACCAAGTATTTTCTACAGTTTTTTGCTTGTAATGACGACAGATTAAACACCTAAAGAATGACAAAGCTGCAGTTGAATCTAAAAAAAACTCACCACGACCCATACTGGCTCTTTGCATCTATGTACTAAGTGTGCTAACTATAAAAAGACACATTCAGAACATGTCTTGTTACTTATAAAAGGAAGATGTATTTCTGTCCATCCTCCAGGACTCTGACCCATATTACACTGTGACTCATTTACAGAACTGGAGGATATGCCTTCAGGGCTGAGACGTTCATTTTAAAGCCCTGCATTCACTTATAATCTCTTCCATGTCTGTCTCAGTCTCTCCATAGAGGAATAGAGTAGCATAAAGTGGCTTTGATAAACTCTTCTCCATACTGACGAGGCGGGATCAAGTCGATGAAAGGGGCTCAGACAGACAGATGGAGAGGGACTCACCAAAATATTTCTGCAGTGTCAAAAAGTTATTTATACTGCTGACTCACCACTTTGGCTTAGTGTGTAAGGAAGTCAAACAGTTTTACGGCTTATTAAATCAGTCTGACAAGCTGCACTGTACGTCAATCTTAAGATTTTAAGTAATAAATGTAACAATTGTAATGCAATCAATTATTTCTAACAGATACAATGTTGTCAATACTGAACCAATAATTATTAAACCTTTATCGTGGCACAAGCCTTTATATTTTCATGACTTGCATACAGTTTCTTTACAGTTGGCCTAGTGGCAGCGTCTCATGTCCTGCCTACAGAAATAGCTCGTCTGTCCATGGATATCTCTGGCAGCCGCTCACTGCAGCTGAAATTCTTTCCCTGACCCCGTTTAGAAAGCTCTCATGGTTCCAACATGTACACTGACAGAGCCCTGCATCTTAAAGGACTAATAATTACTGAACATACATGTTGACAATAGTTGCCACCATGTATACAGAGCTAGGGCGCAACGTTTCATAAACAGTGCTCCTTTCACACAACACTTGTATCAGACACTTACCATTGTTTTGCCATTTAACACAGAATTTTAAGTGGAAGGAAAATGTCATTAAAATTTGACTGCATATTTACCGCACCTGTGTAGGATTAGGAATGACTAGATTAATTCCTGCAGCAGGCCTGTGTTATAACGGTAAGGCTTGAAAGATTCAGGAAATCTATATTTTCTCTATAAGAACCACTTATATTATAGATGTATATCCATCAACTATTTCCTCAATCAACCCGACAGCAGTCTCTAAAATATCATAAAGTAATGCAAAATGTATTGCACACTTTAAATGTTGACATCTAAAAATGGCTTATTTTGTCCCATATCAGTCCAAAAGCCTAATATATGTAACCACCACAGAAAACAAACAAAAAACAGCTAAAATAACATTAATCTATTATGAAAAACAGCTGCTGTTTGCGCTGTTGAACAACTTTCAATTGCTGCCTAATTGTTTCCTCTTTATCCCATATAATGTACTTTCACTGGGATTTGGATGACTGAATGTTATGCTGATAGTTAGAGAGATACTTAGCTTCAGACGTTTCTAAGATGGTCAACTTTAAAGTAAATGCATATAATGTGCTATTTCTGTTAGATACAAGAGCACAATACTATTGCTACATAGATAGTTACAAACCATCAGGTCCTCAGCCAGGCACATAAACCAAATGTCTGAACCTGTGATTCCTCTCGTTACTTTTGCAACCATACATCATCAGAATGGTAAAACTAACCTGTCTCATGACAGCCTTGAACTGATGAATCAAGACTTGAGACTTGGGCTAGACTCAGACTTAAATAACAAAAATAAACACTTTAAACTTAAATTTGATTTGACCAATTTAAAATGTGACTTAATTAAACGTCCCTATTAATCTGAATTGATTTTAGTTCAACTCAAAAACAATCAGAAGTTTTGACCTCTTAAAGTCCTACAAAGTTGGGAATATTCAATTATTAGGCCTCATCATTGAAATGCCTGCTTTTAAGCTTTTAAAGACACAACAAACAGAGCGTTGAAAGAAACATATACTGGTTTTGGTCAGCATTGAGACACCTGAGTGACTTGTAGGCTATCTTGTAATAACCCCTCAAAGAACACTTGAACAGCTTCAAGGAGAACACTTTGTAAATCCTGACCTCCTTTTAGGATGAACATCTACTTTATGGGCATATTAGGGCAGTACCTGCTCTATATAAAAACACATCTTTAGTTGTGCATTTCTTTTTTCCTACTGATGAGCCACTTCACACCAGATACCAAAGTGCAACATTGAATATTTGAAAGAGGTCTGCTTGAATGCCTCCAGCACTTCTGATGTTAGGAAGAGTTACATTTAGAGAAAATGTCTTTTTTTTACATTTTTCAAAATCAACCATCTCAGTATTTCTGGACCTCCCATCCTCTTACCGACGGCTGCTGCTGGTCTTGCAAGCGGAGTATGATTGCTGGCTAACAGACGACTTGGTGCTCAGGTGAAAGCTGCTCTCAAAGTGACGCTGCTGATGTTCCTGCTGATGCTGCTGCAGCTTCTGCGTCACCGTTACTGATCCTGATCCTGACATCCTGAGGGCCACTCCGCCAACTTATATGTTGACTGTTCTTTACTTAACCAGCTCTGGAAATCAATCTCATTGTTATCATTACAGATTGACTTAATTATTAATTCATTAATGTTGAGGTTAGTTAAGGCCAGGAGAAAGGGATTAAGTATGAAAGGTTGTTAAATTGTTAAAATGACGTTATGATGTTTGTCTTTTGAGCAGTCAAAGTGTTGGCTAAAATCAACTGCTTCTGTGTTAAATGAAGCAACAGCAGGTAGCAAACAAGCTGTAGCAGCATTCCTTAACTCCTTTTTGGGGGTAGAAGTGCCATTACAATTAAAATGACTACTTTCACAGGTGTGAATATAAAAAGTGACAAACTTGGGTTAAAGGAGAAGGTAGAATCAAAACTGCTGTGTTCTGTTATTTCTTAATGTAAGGCTTATAGTCAATAAAAGTCTAGATACATATACAGTAGTATTAGATATTACACTCTTTTATGTACTGTGGTTGATTATTTTGTTAATCAATCATGTTATCATTTGGTTTATAGAAAACAATGCACTTCAATATTTCCTAAAGCCTTTTTGTATTGGTCAATAATAAGTGAAAAGCTCAAAGGAAGCACATATTCACATCGTTTTGCTTCAAAATGTCGTGGAATAAATGATCAGTTTATCAAGAATGTTGCCAAAAAAAATGTCTGTGGAGTCAACAATCAATCAAATGACAAATCATTTCAGCTCTAGTAACCACTGTTGAAGTGTTACAGCTTGAAAACATGATGATCAGCTCCCACAGGGCCCATCATCATGTAACCAGAGATCAGAGAGGAGAGATCTGCCATTTATGACAAGAGACTCCAAAAACTTGTATAGCTATGTCCAACACCTACAACAGGCAGTGTGTAGGCAAAGAGTGAATCCATTTGTGAAGAGAAACAAACAGTACACTGGACTAAAAGCATGAGTGCAATGAGTTTGCAAATATAAATCCTGGGTTATAAAAACGTTAAAGGTTAAGCAAATGTTAATGGAAAGATTAACTTTTACTACATTTCAAATGACATTTGACTTCAATGACACATGCAATATTCTGCAAGGACACAATACAGATTAACAATATACTGTTATTATAAAGGCATGAATAAAATGAATAATACATCAATAAACAAAAAACATTACTCAAGTTGTTAAAGGAGGCCTCAAGCCTTACTGCTTCCAAAATGACAGATGACATAAACTGAAATAACAATTATGCAGTATTAAAGACAGTCTTATTCATAAAGAAATAAATACGTCACTCACCACAACTAAGGATTCACCAATCCACAAAAGTTGAAAATCAGATAAAAGGTGTGCTAATTCCAAAAGTAGCTAAAGCAAGTCCAGATCCTGGGAAAGCAGCAGGGTGAGGGGCGGTGGACAGGACGGCAGTCCACTGAACAAAAATAATGCTGCCACTTGGCAGAATGTGCAAGACGCCGTCAGGACCTTTTAAGGCTGGGACAGCTTTAAATTTAGACCATGAGAAGGCCGATCCCAGGCTCCTCAGCTCGCCTGGCCCTCCGCGGTGTCCAAGCTTCAGGGAAACGTGGGAACCAGAGACTGTGTATGTGGGAACTCCTAGTGAGAAATATAAGGCCTTGTCAGTAAATAGATGAAAATCTGCAGTTCACGTTTGACTGCTACCTTGAATGAATGTTGAATAGGTTTCATCATCTGTTGCAAACGGTTGCAAAGCCTTTTTCTTAAACGTTTAGAGACAAGGGGCGAATTCACTAACGCATGTTTCCCTCTCCAAATTAAAACCCTTGTTGTATTCACCGGCCATAATGGCTGATCTGTACCAACATGTCACCTCAAAGCGCTTTAAATGTCTCTATTTCCCTAAATGAACAGTTACATTTCCCAAGCTGCTCGTTTGGGACCAATATGCATTTCCTCTCTGGGGCAAAATCATATAATAGACCGACGTCTCTGCACCACAATTCAATTAATGAGACGTAAAAAAGCTGCAAAATAAACGTTGGAATGTATTTGTAACTGCTGCCATCTAGTGGTGGGACATATACACTGCAGTATTGTTCATTTAGACACATTTAATGACATTATCGAAATACGAGCTTAAATGAAACAATCCAACATTTATTTTCAGTATGACCACTCGTCAATATTTAAATATCTAAATGGAAAAACATGATTTAACAAACTGAAATGGGGACAACATGGTATCTTCCGGTCAGTTGGCTCCGTCCAGCTCGGCTCTGATTGGTCAGTTGAGGAGACAGGAAATAAAACATTGATGGTTGCTCTTTATTATTCTGTGGAGGATCTGCTAGCCCTCTCTATACACGTTTGGCAATAACGCCTGCATTTTCTGAGGTGGGTGATTTAATTTAGCCTCTGAATCTTCTGCACATTAAGGCCACATTAAGTCGATATTGTTGTGCTGTGAATGGATTTCGGTTAGCTCGTGATAGTCTGGTCCGTTATTGAGGTCAACATTGGGCTAGCTATTAGCTTATAAATGTAATGTATAGCTAACATTACATCGGATTTCGGAAGTACGTTAGGCAGCAAAAATGTATTGTTATAAATAAAACATTGGAAATTGCTTTTGCAAATCGATGCATTTCTGTTGTTGGCTAATGTGTGATATGCTTACGGTTTATCATCAGACATTGTGGTTCTCTTGCCGAGTTAGATTTAGTCCTAGCAGATATCAGAATCCTATTAACCTTAAATGAGAATACCAACTAACATGTTATTAATGTGTAGTAAAAGGTCCAATACAAGGGTCCACATCTTTAAACGGGCCATTTGTTGCCTTAATTTAATAATCGGTATTTATAATCTGTCAGACAAGCGCTTTCTTTTGATCAAACGTGTAAAAGTGCATTCACAATTTATACCTTTTTAGCTGTCGACTAATACAACCAAAAGACCTTCCACATCAGTTTATCAGAGGACACATAACAGAGAGTCTCTCTACCCTTTACATGCGTAACTAATCAAAGATAACCCACAATACTACATATAAAGGTACACACACATCAACATGCGCTTAGACTACATACTGAGGCACTATATGTATTAGTTATTCTTAAAACAGAGATCATACAATATAACTGTAATAGGATTACACTAGCTTTGTTGACAACGAGGTAAAGCAGTGGATTTGAACCAAAATTCATTGTTTTTCATTTGGAGATTGTGACATGGAGTCTGAACATGTTTGAAACAATCATTTGGGTTGAGTTAAATTCGAGTCATTTTCACAAATTATCGGCCAATCCTACTTTTATACTTCCATAAATTCCTTACGTTTTGCTTGAAATTTCCTTGTGTTTTTTTAACAACTGCATTCAGAGAACAAAGTAAGTTGGGCTAGGATCAGAAGTTTGTTTAGATGAAATAACCCTTTCCTGGATCAATATTAATGCAATTTATCAAGGCAAATGCATAAGTGAGAATGAGACGGAATTCAAATATTGTTGTAACTTTAATTTTTTGAGACAAATTTCACAATAGTGATGTACATATAGATAGATCCAATTCAAGCTCTAGTTTACATCCTTCATTTGATCTGTATTACAGGAAGGGGAAACTAACCAACTGCCATCATGTCGAGCAAAAGGGCCAAGGGAAAGAACACCAAGAAGCGTCCTCAGCGCGCCACCTCCAATGTGTTCGCCATGTTTGACCAGTCTCAAATTCAGGAGTTCAAGGAGGCCTTCAACATGATCGACCAGAACCGGGATGGATTCATTGACAAAGAAGACCTTCATGACATGCTGGCCTCATTAGGTAAACTTAACAATGTTGTTCGGAAAATATCACTCGTCACCGGCTTGAGTTTCAATAATCAGGATACATGTATTTATTATCCTTGCAAGAATAGAAGTAGTCATCACATACAGAGCATTTGGAACAACTCGTTCCCAGAACAGTGTCCTTCACATGCTTATAAACAAGAGAGGGTGTTACACAGTCACAAGATGGAGGAATACCGGTTCAAAGCAGTATACAATGTTTAGTTTAGATCAGGCCCACACCAGAAATTATCATGTTTGTCGTATCTATCTCCAAAGAGGCTGAATCATCATGTTAATCGTTGTCACAAAGCTATCTCATGATTAAAACAGTCCTGATGCTCCTCTGGGTAATCACACACCCTGTCATTACACAGCTACGTAGGGCCTTTGTTATCATGTGCTACTCTGATATTGAAAGAGTACATTCAGTATTTTCCCAACAGATGTATTTATTTTGAACACATTGAGACAATGAGGGGGAAGATGTGGATGTGACCTACTGTCATAGATTCATGTCCAGCTTTTAAAACTGGGCTAAATGCTGGTTGTTCAAGTGACCTTTCAAAACTAGAAGATGAAGAGATTCAATCCAGGAAGATTATGGAAGATTAGGAAGATATGTTAACACCTCAGACTTTCAGAGTGGGTGCTGGGTGTGATGTATAATAAATGGTCTTTCCTGTGATTGTGCCGCAGGTAAGAACCCCACAGATGAGTACCTGGAGGAGATGATGAACGAAGCGCCGGGCCCCATCAACTTCACCATGTTTCTGACCATGTTCGGGGAGAAGCTGAACGGCACGGATCCTGAGGATGTGATCCGTAACGCTTTCGCCTGCTTTGACGAAGAGGCCACTGGTGAGTTGTTCTATACATGTTCATTGTTCTTTCCCAAAATCAAAACAGTAGAAAAATAGCAATACTTTTTCTATATCCTCAATTCACAAATTGATTTGGATTAGAGCTGCTATTAGCTATTTTCATTATCTTGTCTTTCTTATTTAGTAGTATAATTACTTTACATACCCACCTTTTGGTTTGGTCCACAAATCCCAAAACATTTGGACAAATAAATGTTTGAATGATATGATTTGCTTTTTTGATTACTTGCACAGATGCATAGATACTGTAGGTGCCGTTGGAGAGGTAACTGCTGGTTAAAAAATAGACGATTTTTAAAGGAACATTTGTATTCCCGTTGAATTTTAACATTTGATATTAACATCCATTTGTTAATAAATGTTTAATTTGAAAAATCTGCATCAGGGAAAGGGTTTGTGACAACAATAAGACATTACATTTTAGCCTTTGATAGTAATCTATCCATTTATTCTAAGACATTTATGACTATTTACAACATTTATTATTAATATTATACTGAGGTTTCATTATTCTAGCTCCATAAATGGAATTGGCGGTTGTCATATATAGTATATGACAATATATAGTAAATATATGTTTGGTATGTATTCCTTTATAGAACACCTGGTGAATGATGATTTGAAAATGCTCATGACTTCAAAGAACATGAGTCTTTTTATTTGTATTTGTTGATTAATTTTTTTTGTAAATCCACTAACAGATGGATCGACTTCTCCCTCAGGTATAATCCAAGAGGAAAACCTGCGGGAGCTGCTCACCACCATGGGAGACAGGTTTACGGATGAAGACGTGGACGAGCTCTTCCGTGAGGCGCCCATTGACAAGAAAGGCAACTTCAACTATGTTGCATTCACACGCATACTGAAGCACGGCGCTAAGGACAAAGATGATTAGTGACAGATGTACATTGTTGTTGTTATGGGTTAGACCAGCTAGAACCTGTTACATGGCAAGCTTCACTGTTGTATAGCTTACTGAAGGTCATTTGTTAAAGCTGCTTGTGGGAACACAGTGTACCACTGGACCCCCCCCCTCTAATTCCTCAACCACTACTCTCAAAGCTCATTTGCACATCTGTGAAAAATGAAGGGTCTGTATAAGCTAGTAAAATGTATTAAAAGACCATCATGGATAAAGCTGGAAATAAACTGAAAAAAGGAGTCCGAGTCATTTTTTTTGTAGCAAATTGAAGTTCTAAGATTGTGTTCAGAGATCATTCACCAACACACTATTGCATTTTCAAATATTTTATTTTAAAACAAAGGAAAATAGATGTCATGTGTCAGTTTTCATGATGAATTAGATCAATAACAATTCAACAGTGCACACTACATTTCAAAGGTACGCAAGTTCACAGGATCAGTCACCGGATTGAACTAAAGGTGCTGACTCAATGTAGAAATATAAATACACAACATATGGCAAAAAGGTTTGTGGACAGCATTATGGACTTCTTGTTCTTTTCTTTTTTTAATAGTGTAACGACTTTTAACTGAACATTAACCATGTTTTGAAAAAGGACCATCAAATGTTCCCTTTTGTCTGAAAGCTAAACATATTCAGTTTACTAGCATGTGATGAAGAAGAGCAGAAAATATATCAACAAAATAGCTGCTTTACTTTCGAATAACAAAAGATGTTAACAGTTGTTGAGTTTCAAATGACCATATACCGTATATTTATCATATATAAGATAATAGTTGGTGATAGACCCATTTTCCAAAAGACTGAAATCTGTATGCAGATCGATGGTCATTAATGTCCACATATTTTTAGCCAGGTGTGTACAAACTTCTACATCAAAACAGTCGGTACACCACAATTAGATGAACAACATGTTCTCTGTATTATTGAACCATTTGAGATACTTAACGATAAAACTAATTTAGGTTTTTCTATGCGATTGTCTATATATTTTTCACTAAGCTTCCTTTAAACAGTTTGGTGTGCCTCTGGGAGGGCAGGGCTCACATTTTGAAAACCTCTGATCTACATTATTTGCCACAAATCAAAACTTTCACAGAGTGTCTGTTGTTATGATTTCATAATTTCTCTTGAATCCAGAGGACATATCCCAGATGTATCTAACATAGAACCAAGAACCAGCCTCCTTCTGTTCTCAGGACTCACTGTGATGAGGGCTGTCTCATACACATCAACAATAAATAGACAAAGACCGCATCCACTCGTGACGCTTTCTGTACACAGCTGCTCACAGAGCAATGATTAGCACATGATATGGGACACTTCGCTTACTCCGGCAGGGCGAGATTTTTCGACTGGATCTTTGATTGGTGGTCCGCTATACAAGCCTCGATCTTGTCACACTGTGCCAGGAAATCCTATTGGTGGAAAATAATCACATTTATTGACAATGATTTTCAATTACAGTACAACATTCTATTGATGCTGGAAAAGGGTTTACCTGGACGGTCTTTACAAGTCCCTTTTTCTTCATTTTGCAGTCATTGAAATTATCTGGGATATTCTGTTAACAGAAGAAACACTTCAGGTTTATATGTGACATCAGTAAGAAACCAAATGCTCATCAATTAATCAAACAAAATGGATCACCATAGCATCAATCTGCTCAAGAATCTTCATGAATTGTTCAGCTGCTATTTTCACTCGGTGGTCTAGTTTACCCAACGCCTCTGCCTGGAGGTCTTTGGCAAGGAAGCCCTGTGAAAGAAAATCCATAGTCAAACTTTTTAACAGTACTTTCATCAAAAATATATTGGAGAACAGAATAGACCAACGCAGGAAAATCTTTCAAAGCAGGATTTATTTCTTACGTTCTTGAGTCCAGTCAACTCCCCGTCGACCTTCTCCAGCTTTTTAGCGCTCTGTTCTACAGATTTCTCAATGTCTTTCAGCTTCTTCAGTTCAGACTCTTCCTCAGGACTATTCTGTTGGTAGATTATTGCCAGTATTTATTGAAATATACAGTCACACACAAGATAAATCACACATGTTAAGGCCTTACCCGCTTTCCAATCAGCATGAGTTTGCAGCCTTCTTTTACTCCGTAGCTGGACAGACTCTCCTCCACATCCTTCAGGGATTTTCCTGGAATGACATGAACAATAAGGCATGATTAGAGGTAGGTGTAAAATAATAAGATATTCAAGGATGTGGAAGAAAAGAGGCCGACAGTCTACCTTTGAAGATGAGTTTCTGTGACGTTTGAGGAACTCCAGTGGCTTGGGCAAGAGCATCTGAGAGGTCTTTGACAATGGGTCCTTTGCCCTCATCCTGGCCAGTTAATGTGATGCTGTGCTTAGCAGATCCTTTTGGGAAAGAATTTTTTTTTATCATTAGCACAATCATTAGCGACAATTGCTTTTTAAATTGTGGGAGATTATTTTTCATAAACATAAAAAAGACATAAAAAGCAAGCAGTGCCATCCATTATCCCTCAGAAACACAAAAAAAGAGTCTACCAGAAATGATTTGTCCCAAGCACAGTTACGTGTTTTAACTACAGTCAGCCCCCTCATCCCTCACTGCAGTTTTGCACATTTGTCTTGTGTTTAGAAAAATGTGTTCCACCTTTACCAGTTGTGATAAAAACATCAATACATAAATAATTATAACCAACATATGATATATTATTCTGAAAGGGGCCAATATGCATAATGTGTACTTTTACTTTTTGTACTTTAAGTATATGTTGGTGCCAATACATTTGTTCTTGAGTAACATTTTGAGTACAGGAATTTTACTTGAAAAAAAGTATTCCTACACTTTGGTATTTCTACTTTTACTAAAGTACAAGATCTGAATATCTGATCCACCTCTCGCCAAATATAATTTGCCCCAACTATATTTACCTTTAATACCCTCGAATTCAATGTAATTAACATACAATAAACAATAAATACATGCATTAAATGTTACACTTAAGACTTATGACGTTACGATGGCAAAGCAAACAACGGATTTAATAACATCAGTAATGTCCCATTCAAGTATTTCCACGTACTAATAACACCAATTACTTAAGCAGCAGGTTTTAGAGATAAGCGATGCTGTTGTGATTTTTATCCCAAATCTGTGTTGTGTGTGAAGAAAATTCATTCATTTACAATTAAACATGTTTTTGATAATCCATGTTATGTAGCTGTAGACCAACTATTCAGATATCAGACAAACAAAGACACGGTTAACTTGCATGCACTGTTTAGTCAGGATTTTTAGCTACTAAAGTGAAATGCATGGTAAGAGCTAACTGTAGCTAACGTTACATCAGCTAACCACTTCCTAGCTGGTTATTAAACTAACATACTCGTATCTATCATCTGGGAACCATAGTTTAACATCATGCAAAAATGGTATTACCGTATGCAACTGTCACTGTTAACGTTTGCCCTGACATGTTGTTTATAACGTCCTTTACTTACTGCACAACATAAATCACACAACTAGCTTTTGCTAACTGTTGCTAAATAACTACTTCCGGTACAGACAGGAAACAATCCATCTAATGTCTTTATTTTAGTTTTTACTTTATTTATCTTTTGCCAACGGCACAATTGCTTACATCCAGACAAAAAGTGTACATAAAGTTGAAAAACAGTGACATAACCAGAGTATGTATGCCATTTATGCTTGTATATTCAAGCGCACGCATGCCAATATTAAACAAAACACATTACGAGTTTTCACAACTTTTTTTGTACCATCTATATGTGGTACTACATTTAAAGATGTATCAATTCATCAAACTAAAATTAAGTTGTGGAGTTTCACATTTTGTTAAATTATGAACATTTTTTACAGTGTGCACAAAAGTGTAGATAGACCTGGCTCTGTGGCGCAATGGATAGCGCATTGGACTTCTAGGAAAACACTGGTGAAGTGATTCAAAGGTTGTGGGTTCGAGTCCCACCAGAGTCGACACTTTTAAGAATACAGCCTGTTGAATTCTTCAGATTCCTCCCCTCAAAACTGTATGTAATAGTATGTAATAGAGCGTTTGATAACCGTGAAGTAGCCGAAATACGCCCTGCGAGCGCGGTTTCGAATCCCGCGCAATCCCTAGTATGTCAGAACATGTAAAAGTGGAACTTTTTTTATTATTTAACCATACTTTAAGACCTACTTTCTTTTGCCTGATCCAGATTGCTCCCTCTCCTCTTTTCCTTTCCTGTACTGGTGTGTGGTGTACGGCACGTTACTCTGACCGGATGTTAGCGCCTGAGTAGCTGATGGCAATAGCATGTTGAGAAGCATCATCTGAGAGCTTCCAGGCACAACCTGTGAGGGTCCAGGGCAGGCACTTGAGGAAGCTGCACCATGTATGGTGTTGAGAAGGGTGGAGTCGGTGCAAGGAAGGGAAGAGCATAGTATGGAGGTGGTGGTGGGACCTGTGAGATGGCCACTGGTTGTGAGCTGTTCTGGAGCTTTGCCTCACCAGCAGTGTTTGGTGGCAGAACAAAGTCGTGAGGCTCAGCCAAACTGCCAGGATACAGAGATGTCCCTTTCTGCATTGCCACAAGAAGCTGCTCAGGTCCTGCCATGGGAGCGTCAGGAGCGGAGATACCCTGCTTCAGGATCTGCTCTCCCTGAGACCCGCAACGCCTGCTGAACCTGCGGAAACATGAGACAATCAATATTAATGAACAAAATTGAATATTTGTAATGAAAAAGAGTTGGGATTATTTTGAACAGTAAATCATTTTATTGGGTAAGTATTACAGTGTAAGTATACATGTTTTGCAGTATATGCAGTATGCTTATGCTCACCATTGTGTGACAGTTGCAACATTCACTTCTGGGAGCTGGATGGTGGTCTCAGTCATCAGCTTGGCGTTGGTGATCACGCACTCTCGGATGTGCTTATAAGCACGTGTCACCATTGTGAACCGTGAGACCCTCTTTCCCTCGCAGCGCAGTGTTTTTGTAGAGGTCACAGAGCTTTGTGAAGATGGCCTCCACCACTCTGTTGCAGTTTGGCCTCTGTGCAGGACTGTGAGCCCCAATGAAGCACCTGTAAATTCAACAGAATACTTATTATTATGAATTACTAAAGATTGAGATGTATTTGTACTTTTATGTAAATGTACTTCCCTAAAGTTATGGGGGAAACCCAGAAAGTGTTGTTCTGCTTTATTCCATCTGACACACACACTTGCTTATTGTATGTCTCTTATGTAATATGTTTGTTTTGGACCCAAGAAAGGAAAGGTGGTATTCAAGTAAATAAGGATCCTTTAATAACATTGACTACACTTATTAAGGCGAAGACAGTATTTCACCCAGTTTCAGTCATGTTAAAATGTTGTAGATAATGTCTCTGTGTTTACTTAATGTAACAAACTCTTGTTTGGGTGTGTAAGGGCGGATGCTGGGGCCTTTGCTGCCTCGAAGGACACAGGCAGTTGGATGAGGTGGGTTTTTTGCCGTGCACGGACCAAAGCTAAATAAAGATAAATTAAGGACAAACAGATAAACATCACAAGTATTGAAGAGTACTACACATAAAAAATAAGTGTTATCAAATAAATGTTTGCTTACAGGGTTTGGTTTTGAGGGGGGGAAACCAGCCGTTTCACTGCGTTTGTCAGGCTCCTTTGATTTGGCACCTTCTGTCCAACTAAAAGGGAGCGGAGTGAAGAGGTTGAGGCATGCTGGCTGGTCCCAGCTTGCTGGGTGGGAGCAGCATGCTCTGTGGTGGTCAAGTGCTTGGCAGGGGGAGTGACCTGGGCAGGACGGTGTGCTAGGGAGCTTTGGCAGCATATTGCTCTTCTTTCATGGCAATGGCAATTATACCAGAAGGAAAGAGCTCAATATACTCTTTGAAACAGCCCTTGTTCAGGGCATGTTCTTTGGAGTCTTTGAGTCTTGAGTCTTGGAGTCTTTGCAGCCTCCTGTCGGGTCTCTTTTCATTGCTGCCACCAGGTAAGCAGCATAGCCAAGATAATTTTCCGCCACCCAACGGAAAGTCTGCCCACGAAACAGACCAAACTGGATTTCAAAGAAACCCAGCAGGTGTCTTCTGCTGGATGGATCGCCACGGTGCTGGGTTATGGCTGTCCTGGCCTTGTCCATCACTTCCTCGGGAGAAAGAGGTTGAATCAACGGCCTAGCTTTGCTTCCAAAGTGTCTGTCATGTTTTCAAAAGCATGGTTCCATCTAGAGAATAATGAAATATTCATATTTGAAAAAACGGAGAAATATATCGTTTATAATAAATATTTAATAAACAAGCTGTAAAAGATTACATATTGATTCAAAGAAAAACTGATGACTCATACAATACAAATGAAAGATGAATACAAACTAGTACAAATGCAGATTATGCATTTAAATGTAATCAATCAATCGAAATGTAAAAATAGCATATATTTTGTATGAAAAACTTGACTTCATCGCAACTATTTAATAATTTCCTCTCAATTATAGTGTATTAAAGTACCTTACAATGGAAACAGGCCTGCCTAATCAAGTAGAGTACAAGCATTTCGTAAAAAAAGGTGGTGTAAACTGCATTGTAACTTCCCTTCACTGTCCCCCCCGGACTTTCATTGTTTACAAGTCAGGTTTAGTATTTAAATTAATGGTAAAATAAAAACGGTTGTCCGGTTACAGTCAAGGGCAAGATTTGTTTTGCCCTTGTTTTATTTGTATCTCATGCTGTTAAAGCTCGCTTAAAGAATAAATTAACTTTTAAAACACGTCGGTCGCTGCCATAGACTGTAGATATAAAGGTCGCTGCACCGGTGACGGAGAAAAAAAAGACAATAAAAGAAGCTCCGCTCGCTCGCTCCGTCCCGTCCGAGATGCTCTCTAGCTCATACCGTAGTTACGTTAGTCCTTAACTTTAGCTGGGTAATGTCAAAAACAGGCATGTTATTTAGCCAGATATGTCAACATTAAATTGACGATACATGTACATAATAATCCGCTACCGGTAAACATCACATACATGGAACGGGACATGTCCGGTTCGCTAGTCATTCGTAAAATGTCCCTGAGCAACATGTTGTTTACTTAAAATATATCTATACATCTAATATGACAGTTTATAAGCGTTGACAACATAGTTAAAGGATGATGTATTTACTTGTGATGTTGGGAAACAGTTCATCTCTCGCTCGCGGCGTCCGCAGAGTATACCCCGCCTACGGAGACGCTGATTGGTCAATTCTTGGTTGATGCGGAGCCAATTCTTGGTAGCAATACGGGCGCTGATTGGCCAGAGCTCTCAATTCTTGGTAGAATCTTGGTGAAATGTTGGTAGCAGACGTGAACGTGATTGGCTGTCGCTACCAGGAATGAGCTCGACTCACAGGTGACGGGGAATATCATGTTACAAACTGTACAGTCTACAAGTGTTCTCTCAGATAAGGAATTTCCAGATGCATCCACACGGTTTCCATCATGAATTTGTTTAGCCCAGACTTTAAATTTACATTTTTGATTAAAACAACTACATGCCATAAGGGTAGGGTTAACTCCTGTCAAACATATTATAATGCCTCCTATGTTCGAGATGTTTAGGCTTTTAAACGAACATACAGTAGGGAAGGTGCACTATTTGATTTATGTTTAAATACAATAGGGAAAAGTGCATTATTTGATGATGTATGAACGCAATAGGGAAAGTGCAATATTTGATTTATGTATGTGCAATAGGGATATGTGCAATAGGGAAAGTGCTGTACCTGTATGTTTCTTGTTTGTTTCTTTGCCATGTGATATGTGATCTCTGTTCTGTATCTATGACTGATTGTCCTAAATGTTTTATGTTTATTATCTTGATGCCCAAGACAAATGTCTCCTAAGGGAGACAATAAAGCTCTATCTATCTATCTATCTATCTATCTAACAAGGTACTCGCAATATCAGGAAGGATGTCATAAAATGTTTGTCATTACCAAACAAAGTCCATTTGAAGGTTAAACTTTGTGTGTTTGTAATATATCTGGAGGACTTTATACAAACAGACTAAACTTTGAAAATGGAATTGATTTAAATATGATGTATTCCAGATTCGGCTCGACCCATTAAGCGAAATAGGCGGCCGTTTAGGGGCCTGCAGCCACTAAGGGGCCCCCTAGCAAACAAAACAAAAACAAAAAAATTGAAAAAAAAAAAAATCTCAGTACACCGTCGCCGTGATAAGTATGTTTAATTAATTGTGTTAATATGCCTAGATTGCCTACTCTCAAAGTCATGTATTATATTATTGAGTCAATAATATAATACGTTAACAGTGCCTTACCTGAACCTCATCATGACACTAGAGAGGACGGCAGGAGTGTAATTTCCCGTGTTCAGTGAATGCAACAGAGGCAAGACACCAGACCAACCAGAGAGTTGCATGGAAATAAACGTGTCTTATTGGCTGACAGGTACCTATCCCGTGACAATGTTTAAACTGTCAGTCGGACTCTTGACTTTTTGTAGATGGATATAAGAAAAAAAAAATCTTAAAAAATCTTAAAAAAGACGACAATTCTCAAGTGGTAGCTCACACAACAACCCCAGATCCACCACTTGAGCCAGGTAAACAAGGTATGTAAATGTCAGTAAACTTCCAAGTTATGCGAACATGTAAGCAAAGCAACGTTGACGTTACTTTGAATCGCGGGGGTAAGCTAAACTGTTAGCAAGTAGCTATAGCTAGCCAGATATATTAAATAAACACTTTGTCATACAATCTAAATGTAATGTTTTTTAGCGTTACCTGGTGATTTCAAAGAAAGCTCCCTCGGAAATGTTGACTTACTGTTCGACATGAAGCTAGACGCTGCCTTACAGTACACAGTTGATCCTGAGTGAAGAAATTATAATTCTTCTGAATGATATTCCTAGTGACAGCTAGTTTATATGTGAACATTATGAGATGGACAGCCAGAGAGAATAAATGAAAAACAGTTATGAAATACTATATGACAAAACAAGAATACAGTTTAAGAGATTTGTAAAATATCCATAAAGAAAAATCTGTTACAGCTTTGTTTCATATGGGTGTTGAGAAATGTATCCATAGATCTCTTAATTTTGCTCTCAAAGTGCACCAGATTGATGCTTTTAACTTCAATATTTAAAAAAAAAAATCCCGGGGGAGCATGCCCCCGGACCCCCCTAAAGGAGGTGAGGACCCCCTTAGAGGAGGTGAGGACCCCCCTAGAGGAGGTGAGGACCCCCCTAGAGGAGGTTAGGTCCACAGTGTTTACATGCTTATTTATACAATATGTGTGCTTCTTGAGACTGCCAAGGCACANCTGTAGACGGTTTCTGCGCTGAGCACGGTGTCACCTTTAGAACCACCATCATTGAGAAATTTGAAGTGGCTTTTGGCAATGAAGGCGAGACAATGAGTCTGGGCTGCTCTGTCATTGTTTATCCCACTGTGAAAAAATACCAGCCTGAGGTCGTGTGGTACAGAGACTGTAAGTAGAAATGTGAATATTGCTTAATTTTCCTCTTTAGAAATATTGCAAATGACCTTTAAATGTATGTACCTTCATGTATCCATTCATTCATTCTTGAGTTTGAACTTCTCCCATCAGCTGTCCCATTGAAGCCCTCTAAATGGGTCCAAACCCTCTGGTCTGGGGAGCGTGCCACACTCACATTGGTCCACCTCAACAAGGAAGACGAGGGCATGTACACCATGCGTGTCAACACCAAATCTGGCTTTGACACCTACTCTGCTTATGTGTTTGTGAGAGGTAAGATGCCCGTAGATATTTCACCTGAAGCTGATTTCATTACAAATTCACAAACTGTTGAAAATCAGTTTCTTAGTTTTGTATTATATTGAAAATTGAGATAAGCTATGAAGCCAAATATGCGCTTAATCGTACCGTTTGGAACAAAAGTGATACGTGCAAAGTAAAGCAACACATTTTTTATCACCACAAACACAGATGTGGTCGGGAACCATTCATTTCTGCTGTGTCTTTAAGTGACATAACTCTCTGAGGTGTTTGGTTTCCTCAGATGAATGTTGGTTCTATATCTGTCTGGATGTCACAGAGAGGGTGATCTAAAATAACAATCAGCAGTTTATGAGGACTTTTCAGATTCCCCTTTTATGTTACCAACATGTAAACTAAGTTATTATAGCTACAGTGCTGCCGGACACGCTTTACTGTAATGGCGTAAGTGGGTCAGAACATGGAAGCTTAGAATGTAATGGAGATCAGCCTGATTTAGGAAACAGCACCACTCACAAGTGTGCCCTCTGTGATATGGTGTTGCTATTCCAGATGCTGATGTGGAGGTGGAGGGGCTTCCCGTGGCTCCCCTGGATGTACACTGTCATGATGCCAACAAGGACTACGTGGTGGTGACCTGGAAGCAGCCGGCGGTGGAGGGCAGCAGCTCCATCCTGGGATACTACATCGACAGGTTGGGATGCTCAATATTTATTTTATTGCGTTAATTATTTGCCAGATAATTAATTATTCAATTTCATCTGATCTCTTTTTGCAATTATACAGTCTTCCATTCAGGATATACTGGTTCTATCTATGCTGCTTATTGTAATGCTAACTCTGCAGGTACAATGGCAACCTTTTTCTAGATTTTGACCAAACTGCCATCTTGACAAATAAATGTCACTTTCTAGATTTGTTCTTATGCAAGCCCATGAACTCATTGTGTCAGTTATGGGCACAATTGGGTTGGATCACATGTTATAAATTCAATGTGTTTTTCTGTGCAGGTGCGAGGTGGGCACTCACCACTGGGCTCAGTGTAACGACGCCCCGGTGAAGTACGCCCGCTTCCCCGTCACCGGTTTGGTGGAGGGCCGCTCCTACGTGTTCAGAGTGCGCGCCCTGAACAAGGCAGGAGTCAGCCATCCATCCCGTGTCTCTGAGGCTGTGGTTGCCATGGATCCCTCCGACAGAGCCCGCCTCAGAGGTAAACAATTATACATCATGGACATATCTGTAAAGTGACTGCTGTATTCTACCTTAATTGTATTTTTGGTTGTTACTTTGTCATGTGTCATTTTGTGTCAACATTCCCTTTTTTACTTTGCTTTTTTGATTCTTAAGATGCCGTAACATGCACATTGTCTGGTGTGGAATCAATAAAGTTTTTACCTTATGTTATTTTGTCTTTACTTTTCCCAACAGCTGGCCCCTCAGCTCCTTGGACTGGGATTATCAAGTTCACAGAGGAGGATACCACCGGTAAGGCAGCTTTAAACTCTGTTAGGTTTGTTTGTTCTACATTTTTATTTTCAGATGTGACAGCAGTTAAAACTCAAATGACATGTTATAATGACTTCAAGGGCAGGCGATCAAACACAAATACATTCTCCATATTATCTGAGATTTGTAAGTCTAGTTTAATGATTACTTAAATGGATTTTTCCTGACTTTCTTTTATTTCTTTTTAAATGTTAGACATTAGGGACTCAGGGAAAGTTGCTTGTTCGGCACTCGTAGGAAAACATGATTCTATTCCTCAAACTAAAATATTGAAAGTAATTTTTTTTTGTGTTTTTAAGTATTTAAGGTTTTTGAATGATAACCATCCCAAGTGACTTGTTTAAGTGACTTGTTTAAGTGAATTTCTCTGTGATCCTCAGTGGGCGTTGTCCCCGGAGAACCCTCTGATGTTGTGGTTACTGAGGCGACCAAGAGCTACGTGGTGCTCGCCTGGAAGCCTCCGATGCAGCGCGGTCATGAAGGAGTCATGTATTACATCGAGAAGGTGAGGAAAGGTGGTGGAAACATGCATACAGTGATGAAGAGATGCAACATGAAAGATCACATTGCCTTATTATAAGCTACAAGTCACATGGCAGTGGTGGAATGTATGCAAATAAACTGTTACTCTTCTTTAAAATGTTCTTCTACCCCACTACCTTTAAGAGGCTCTACGTGTCAGACATCTTAACTTACCTCTCCGAATACAGTTTTTCATCCTCTTCCTTTCCAGTGAAAACCATGTTTCCCTAGATTTGTGGTGAAATGTTGTGATAAACTGTAGGATTTAATGTTACTTTATGTGTTTAAAATGTTTCTCCTTTTACACAAGTTTAATATCATTTTCAAAAACCCTCTTGGATTAGCTTGAAAATTCACAAAGCCGATGTTTTCTCTGAGCTGAAATACATTGTTACCCCGTACATATCATGATTTTAAATGAATATAATGCATTTCTATAGATTAAATTACTCAATAATGTGCCAAGGAGTACAACTTTAAACATTTACAGCAGTTTAATACAACATACAAAATAATGCAACAAATATTTATTGTATAAGAAGCCTTTCCTTTACCATTGTCTGCTTCTTTACTGACATGTCCTTGTCTCTCTGTCGCCTGCAGTGTATTTCTGAGTCAGACACCTGGCAGAGGGCGAACACCGGCATGCCAGTGAAGTCTCCTCGCTTCGCCCTGTTCGACCTGGCAGAGGGAAAATCTTACAGCTTCCGCGTTCGCTCCTGTAACTCCGCTGGTGTGAGCGAGCCCTCTGAATCCACAGGAGACATCACGGTCGGAGATAAACTGGGTGAGGCCTGCACTTAAATTTGATGTACAGCTTGTTATCGCTGTATTCCTTCATTAGTTAGTTAATAGACTGTTGTTCCCCTCTGCATTATGTTGATCCAAACATAACATCTTCCTTATTTTCATGCATATCTCTCTTTTAACAGACCTGCCCTCAGCTCCTGGCAGTCCAGTGGCCACCAGGAACACCAACACCTCCGTGGTCGTCTTCTGGAGCGCCTCTAAGGAGGTCAAACACCTGGCCGGCTACTACATCGAATACAGTGCGGTGGGCACAGATGAATGGACACCTTGCAACAACAAACCTGTCAAGAAGACCAGGTAAGTGCAGCTAAAGATAAAACTAGGTTCGTGAATTCACAAGCCATTCATTGCTTAAAAAGATGAGTTGATTCCATTTCAAATGTTTTTTTGGTGTTCTAAGTTGATGACCAAAAACTGGGAAAATATAAAAAGAAGATTAAAGGGGATATAATGTGCAAAAATGAAATACTAGTTGAAGTTACATCACATTTATCTAAGTGCCCGTCCACACAGCAGCGTTAAAAAAATCTTGAAAATCTTGAAGGTGGGCGTGTCTGAAAGCTTGGGGATTTTTTGCGAGCAACGCGACCAACAACCAATCACATGAATCTCCCGCCCCCGACATACAAAGCAAAAAACCCCGGGGATTTTATGCGAGCAATATATATATAAACTCCCCAAACAGGTGAAAACCTACCAGTTTCACCCACTGTCTCTGCCACCTCCCTCCATGCCTGGTTCCTCCGGTTTGTATCCCGGTAAATAGTTACTGGTCGTAAAGAACCGGGTGATTTGCTACCGTAATTTCTCGTTTGGAATATGAGGAAATGAACTGCGGTCTGGCTCTCCCACCTTACACGCGGTTTGATTGGCTAGCGCTTGTACTGTCAGATTTGCATAAACAGGATTTGATTGGCTGACGCTTCCACCTCAGCTTCAAAAGTTGAACATTGCTCAACTTTTGAATCCTGAAAATCCTGGAAATCTTCGCTATTGCTTCCCGCGACAAATTCAGGTTCGGCGCAAAGCGAAGGGCCAAATGACGAGCACCATCACATTGCAAGAGGAATGGGCAGAAGCGTTGGAAGATTTTTTAACGCTGCTGTGTGGACGGGCCGTTGTTGTCTTTGTTGTCACCATTTTGTTTGGTGATGAATAGCTGGTGACTTAACAGACATTTATTTGAATTACACTAAGTAGATTCATTTATTACAAAACTACACTAACACAATTTGCTCATGGTTGTCGGATCTATATTTTTGTATAGGCTCCATTGTTTTGCTCCAGTGGATAAAATATATGATCTGTTACAGAAAAGCATTGAAGTCAGCTAACATTTGTTAGTAACTCAGTTCTGCAGGAATATTTGCTAAAAGTGATAACAAACCAAACAACTAACCTCCTGAGTGTATTACATTAGGGAGTGAGTGTCTTTCATATATGGCTTTTGAACTTTTTTTTTCATTTGTAAATTAAGAACTTTAATACGTTTTTTATGTTTTTGAAAGCGTACATATAGTATCGCAGCTAAATGCAATGTAATGTAATGTAATAAAAAGCCGTGGTTGGTTAGCTAAGCTACTTTTGAATAGCTATTAGCAATAATGCTAATGCTAACAACATATTTCCCTTTTCTTTAGTATGACCCCAAGCCTTTGTGTAGCTATAAGTTCAATTTTTTGTTTGTAATTGTATTGAATGCAAATGTAGCTTTTACTATTTCTCAATCCTACTGTTGGTGAAATCTCAGTCAATATTATATGACTCTTTACATCTTTGACTGTTTTTAGGTTTGTGTGCCACGGCCTGACTACCGGGACAAACATCGTGTTCAGAGTGAAGGCAGTGAACGCTGCAGGATACAGCCTGAGCTCCGTCAACTCTGAAGCTGTGGTTGTGCAAGCTGCCGTCTGTGAGTGTCATGATCACATCCCTCATCTCCATTATTCACTTTGCCTGTAGCGTTCAAGCCATACTCTCCCCTTCTGCTACTTCCTCTCAGCTATTTTTAAACATATATTTATCCAGGGATTCACGGCTGAGAATGTACACTTGTATTTCAACACATTCACACACACGTTAACTTTCATTATTTATTTTCCTTTTCCTTACCAAAAATCAGTTATTTAATTTTAAATCAGATCACTTTAAATCACTTAATAAAAGCTTCTGAGAGTTTGTTCCGAAACAGTTGCCCATTTATCTTGTCTTGTGCATGTTATCCTGAGTTTGATGAATGCAAGAGGCACACAAATATGTGACTGCATGTTGATTTATTTGCATGTGTCTGCCTGTCATCGCTAACATTGACTGACTCTATCATATTTTGCTGTTTTCCATACCGTCGTTTATTAATGACAAGGTTAAATAGCAAAGTAGACAATGATTTACAATGCTTTTGCTGTATGCAAGTATTGATTTCTGAGTTTTGTGTTGATATTTTACAAAGGTGATGGCTAAAACATTTGTGTTCTTAAAGAGCATGAACATAATGAGAGTCTGGTGCGACTTTCGGAGATTTTCGTAGCGTGAAAGTTGTCCTGCTTCTGGCCTTGAGTGTAAGTACATTATACATTACAATGACCCTAATACAGTGTTGTTGCTTGTGTCCAAAGCATGTTGCATGTTCAAATGTAAACTAATATGAACTAAGATCTATGTTATATTTTGCTTATTTCAGGCCATATTAGATGTCATTTATCATTTAAAAGGAAAACAAAATGGGGTCTGAAAATCGGAATATTAGTTATTTCAACATACTTCTTCGCATTTCTCATAATAAATATTGACCACTTTATCAACTTTCTTTACAGCCATCTCTGGAAACCCCACCAATGTTACCCTGGTGGAGGCTGTGAAGGATTACATGACGCTGGCCTGGACTGAGCCCTCTTTCAATGGAGGAGCTGATATCCGGGGATATTTTGTGGACTACAGGACCGTGAAGGGAGGCGTTGTTGGAAAATGGCATGAGATGAACCACAAGGCACTGCCTGCTCCCTCCTATAAAGTAAGTGTGTTTATTTGTAACCACATTTCAATGAAATAATTTCAATAAAAAAAAAAAGAAGAAATTCAATAAAAGACCTCACAATGTTACGTGTAATTTCTAACTGCAGTTTTGACCTATTATCTCATGAAGCTCAAATAAGTTTATGTACTTGGTAATTCATGTTTGTCTGGAAAATAGCCCAAAAGAGGTGTTTTATTTATATCTCATTACCTTAATTTCTGTTTTTAGGCTGAGAACCTGAAGGAGAACGTATTGTACCAGTTCCAGGTGCGCGCTATGAACATGGCAGGTGTGAGTAAAGCCTCTCTGCCCAGCTCAGCGATAGAGTGCAAGGAATGGACCATTACTTTGCCAGGTATGAACAAAGAATAAAGGTATATGTCAGTAAATATTAAATAGGAAACAATTGGATGATTAATTAACTAGCCGATTGAGGCTGATGATGATCAATTAATCATTCAAAGTTATGAATACAAGAAAAACAGACTGAACCAAATAATGTTGAGACAATAGTCAATTACCAGTTTGTTTTGGGCACAATGCATTTCGGATAGATAATCTATTCATGAGACCATTAAAATACATTTTGTGATAAGAAATATATATGTATATTTGTATAATGGAATTTCTTATTAAGAGTGTCTTTAGAGCTTGAAATATAACCAAACACAATGTGCACATGTATTGCAGTACACCTATATCACTGGATGTATATTATTTTCTTGATGTGTTCAATTGTAAATCTTTGTCATACTTAGTTTCTTTTTGTGTTAACCAGTTCCAATTTGTTTAAGATATTTCTTTATTCATGCTCCAAGGTGTTCCTGTGGGTCTTCATGCGCTGGAGGTCCGTGACACCTCGGCCGTGATGCTGTGGGAGCCGCCTATATTCAGTGGCCGCACTCCTGTCAATGGATACTATCTGGACCTGAAGCTGGCCTCTGCTGGAGAGGCAGGCTGGAAGGCTGCTCACGAGAAAGCCAACAAGGGCAAATACATGAAGGTGAGCAGGATGTTTATAAGTTACAATGGATCTTCTTGAAATGCTTTTATTTTTTAGCAGAGGACATATTTTAAGTTTGATCAATATGGCCTTCAGCTTGTATCTTCATGAGATATTTTCATGTGAAATAAGGGCGACAGTGTTCTCTTAACTCTCTCTTCCTTGGACTGCTCACATGCTGCTTCAGGTGACGGGGATGAAGGCGGGTGCTTCCTACGTTTTCCGCGTGCGCGCTCAAAATCTGGCCGGCGTCGGAAAGTCCTCAGCAGCCTTAGGTCCAATCCTGTCCCAGACTCGACCTGGTGAGTGTGATTGTTACATAACTCACACTTTCAACCACATAGTGTTCCTACGCAGGGCTGGAAACAAGGGAACGTTTCTATTTCTTTATACTGATGTATGAATTTACTAGATGCACACACACTGTAATCATTTACTCTCATTTCCTCAGGCACCAATGAGATTTATGTGGATGTGGATGATGACGGTGTGATCTCCATGGTCTTTGAGTGCTCTGAGATGAAGGAGGGCTCTGAGTTTGTTTGGTCCAAGAACTACAAGACCATTACAGACACCTCTCGCCTTACCATGGTTACTAAAGGGGGAAAGTGAGTATAATTTGTGTGACCAATTCCTCATGCAACATCCAGGGACCAAAATAACCCTCTTGCTCTTGTTCAAGGCTTGTGTGCAAATGCAGTTCTTTAAATTGTTCACATTCATTTTTGTATTCATTGGTCTTCAACTCCAGGCAGGGTTATCATGATGAAATAAATAATCAGAGCAATAATTTATGTCATTTTTCATGACATTGGACAGAAATGGAACATACTTGGTATTCCAGGCGAATGCACATGTTTAACAATTAATTATATTTTGTTATTTTTGACGAATTAAATGACAAAAGTGATGGTTTGAATATGGTTTCAAATGTCATTTAACAAAGCTACTTAGCTAAGGTAATGTTAACCAGATGGGGTTGGAATAACATTTAACGGTTTTCTTTTAAATGTGCTAGTGAAAGTGTTGATTCCCAAATAAAAAAACAATGGAATATGATGGCCGATCCTACACAGCTCTCTTATAATATGTTTTTGTTTGTATATTTAGCAATTATATCATTAGATATTAAACATCTCTATATACATTATACCTGGACCTCACAAAATCATGCATAATATATAAAAACCTAACCTTTCAGAAGAACTGAAACCAAACAAAAACTAGCAAAAGCAGTCAAAATCAATATAAAATTAAAGATTTATAACCTCGCCTGCAGGTCCAGAGCCATCTTCAACAGTCCCTCCCTGGAGGACCTGGGCACCTTCTCCTGCGTTGTCACCAACACTGAGGGCTTCTCCTCCAGCTACACTCTCACTGAGGAGGGTGAGTCGCCCACAGTCCTGGCATCTCTGCTTCTGAAACTTGATTCTCTTGTTATTTCTTTCGGGTGACGTCAGTGCCAAAGGTGTGAGAAGGACTTGAAGGACTGTGTCATCATGTCTCTGTTGTCGTGTTTCAACAGCTGCGACAAATTGACCTCTGTTACACACTGTGTTTGTCTTGTTCCCTCAAATTGTTCAGTGTGTGTATGTCTGTCAAGTTGTGTTTCAATCAGAGGTTCTACTTGACATGGAGTATTTTTTAACTGCATACATAATAAGAAAACTGTCAGATAGAAGTAAGACTCGTATTTGATGGTGAAAGGTTTTGACACTTACACATTTTGTTGCTTTTGTTGTTACTCAACAGGTCTCAAACGTCTTCTGGACATCAGCCATGACCACAAGTTCCCAGGTGAATATCCCGCCACATCACAGATCCTTCTTATACCATGGTTTATTTTTCCCTTATCAAGAAGTTGCATATCTATCACTAACTAAAGAAAAATACTTTCTAAAAATACAGATCTTTCTTGGAAATGATAGTTACTAGGTGTGTGACGAGAAATCTATTTGGATCAATGTATATTGATTCAATGAGCAATGGTCAAACACCATCAAAACTAATAGATAATATCAATTATCATCTTTTTTGAGATATTGCTTTATTTCTTTATTGTGCAAGCATTACAAAATGTGGCACATTAGTCTGAACAGGAGGTGTATTTCTTCTTCCATTTTAAATATCTGGAATAGCCCAATAATAATTTTTGCAGTTGGAATAAATGTAACTTATTGTATTAAAATTGGCATATGATATCTTTGTAAATTAGTCCCAAGCCTGTGAATTGAATGCATTCAAAATCAGGGCAGACTACTGTGAACGTAGTAGTTACCAAACCATTGTTACATGCATAGCTTATACAAAAACATTTAAAAAATGTGCTTGTCTCCAGTTATCCCCTTCAAGAATGAAATGGCCATGGATCTGCTGGAGAAGGGTCGCGTGCGTTTCTGGACTCAGGTGGAGAAATGCAGCTCCGCCTGCACTGTGGACTATGTCTTCAATAATGCCATCATTACAGACAACAAGGTGCGAATAAAAACATAAAACGTTGTCCTGTGTCTTTGGGATGGTGAATGTTCCACGACCTGATCTTGATTGGGATTTTATATCTTTTTGTTTCCAGAAATACACAGTGAACTTCAACAAGTCCACCGGAATTATTGAAATGTTCATGGACTCTCTGGAGGTCACTGACGAGGGAACGTTCACCTTCAACCTGGTGGACGGCAAAGCTAAGGGGACGACCAGTCTGGTGCTCATTGGAGATGGTAAGACCTCAAATATCCATTTTTTTTTTTAACTCTCTTTCTATTTGGATAGAAAGACAAATATAAATTGCACTTTTTTTTCCCTTGCGTTTGTACATTTTTCTTTTTTAAACTTAAGAGACCCAAAGATTTTAAAATCAATACAAATAGAAAATATATTGAATAATGATGCAGTTTACCTTAAGCACATAGATGTATGCATATCCTTATGTCAATCACTTCATATGTAGCCTCTTAAAAATGTATTGTAAAATGTTTGTACAAATACCCACTACCCACATATGAACAAAACTGACATATAAACACCTATACGCCAGCCTAGACATGCATATTTTCCCCACACCTTTTGAATCAGTCTTTAAAAATAAAGACCCCTCTAATTCAGTATCAACATCCATGTTTATGTTGTGCTTAGTCTTTTGTTTTAATATCAACTAAAATTGTTGACATCAAATAGGCCCCCCCAACACACAGAGCACTTTTGAAGGTTACGCACTGAAAGCCTCCCTCTGCTGGGTGTATTGCATCTGCTGCAGTTAAAGTTCTTGTCCATTGAGGGGCAGCAGAAGACAACCTTTCTTTACTGTTTTGTCTGTCAGCTGATTTTCTGATGCACCTTTTGTTACCTAGAATTCAGGGCGCTTCAGAAGAAATCTGAGTTTGAGAGGGCAGAATGGGTCAGGAAACAGGGTAAGGTATTTTTACTTTTCCATTACATAAGTTTAACACAATTGCTGAAGTGCATCTTGATAAATATTTTAAATGTAATATCAACAGGTCCTCACTTTGTCGAGTACATTGGCTTCACTGTTACTCAAGAATGCAATGTGCTGTTGAAATGCAAGGTAAGAAAAGTAGCTGTTTGATACTGCTGTTCATGTTTTTTTTTAAGGAGCCTCACAAATGGCTGCTATTCAGGTGGTGCAACTTAACCCTATCTCTCTTCTTTCTCCACACAGATTGGAAATATCAAACCAGAGACTCAGATCACCTGGTCCAAGGACAAAATTGAAATTGCAGAGGATGATGAGGACGCCGCGAAAATCGAGAGAAAGGACGGCCATCTGACCTTTAATATCGGAAAGGTCAGCCCGTTAGACAGAGGCCGTTCATTGTGAGGAGTCGTGAGCTCCTGAGTGAAGAGGAGAGAAAGTGCCGCTTGTGCTGCAGCTGTGCTTCCATCGTAGAGCTAGACTAGACTAGATGCTTCACTGCCAACCATCCCTCTCTGACACACAGTGTGTTTCATCATAAATGATGAAACACTAGAAATATTCCTGTCCTCGAGGCCTGCTGTAATGCTGCTGGACTCGGCACGTCAGCATGTCGCACTGGGGAATTCAAATAAGCCTACTGGGTACAATTGGCACTATTTTGAAGATTTAAATCCTTATTTGAGGTTTATAGACTTATAGGACAAGCTTTGCAACATGTGTGCCCATATACAGTATATGGTTTATCTGTGTGATTCATTCATTCATTTCATGACTAACACTATATTCTATTTGACTCCTCTGGCCAATATACTCAAAACATTTAAAACTGGAAATCTGTCCTTGTTTTAAGGATATTAATCTGGGGCTATAATACAGAAACTTTTTATCTTGAGGATCCAATCTCAACTTTTTCGTAACCATGATAATGAGGGTTAAGAAGAAAAAAAGGGATTCAGGGAAAAAGCCATTACAGATGAACACAAAGACCCAAAACGTTCTCAAACACTCTCATAACATCAAATAAACTTTGAGGATACATGTGAAGAAGTCCTGACTTTCGCTTTCCACCAGAGAATATTAGTCCGCCTTTTTGGTTGCTTAGCTACAACCAACCAAATGTCAGCAGGCGAATTTAATTAAGTCAGAGGTTTATTATATGGAAGGCAGACCCTAACGTCGTATTGCAGCTTGATGACAAAACCCTCATTAGCTGTAAATTCACGAAAAAAGTATGTACTTTGATTTCTCCAGAGATGTTTCCAACACCTCTAAGTCATCTGCTTTCTTGTATTTTTTCAATGACAAAAACGTTTACAAAGTTCTTTAACTCAACAATAAGAGAACAGCTGCATGGGTAGAAAGGTCAAAGACATCAAAGTTTACAAATAATAACATCACCTATACTAAGATAAACATGATGAAGTAAGATAAGGTTCCTAAAGTTAGGTGAAATTTGCTTCTCTAATACCAAATTGTGAAAATCCTGTCTTCATAACTCTTTGGTTTTTAACTTAAGACAAAAGATAGGCAGTTTCTGTAATACAGCCCCTTTTCTGTTTGTGCCAGTGAAGTTTTATTGATGTTTCAAGGTACCTGTACATTGAAACTGTATCATCATCACTCATGAAAAGAGGGTTGGTGTCATTGCATGAGCTCAGGAGATGTGGCCCGTCCACAGCCACTCCTGTCCATCGCACTTGCATTAACTGGCTTATCTGTCTAATTCACAGTGCGTTATTAAGCAGGAGAAACCGAAAGGAAAAGAAGGAAAAAAGGCAACTGCAGAGGACGTGCCGCCGCCGCCAAGAGCCAAAGTCTGGACATATTGCTTGCTGCCCTAAGTTCACGCCTATAAATATTTCCTTCTCGTCTTACCTTATTCATGTTTTCCTTTTAATGCCTGAAGCATCCTGGGCAGAGGAAAAGCTTGGCTTTTCTGCTTAGTTGGTCTTTGTCCTGTTCTTATATCTGTCCCAAGAATAATAATGTGTTCCCCTCTGTTTGATTTAGAAGGAAATTCATTACTGCCTCAAGGATACTAAAGTTGTTTTACCTTGAACTGTAGATCTCCAAGGCTGACAAAGGTGTTTACGATGTGGTCCTGAGGGACGAGAGAGGCAAAGATAAGAGCTCCTTCGATCTGACAGATGCAGGTAAAGCGTTGTCCATGAATTATGAGAGGGAAACTCAGTCCTGTCAGTGTTGCTTAAAGAAAAGTGAATAACTGTGGTTCTCATCTTTTTCTCCCAGGATACCAGGCTGTAATGAACGAGCTGTTCAGGGTTATTGGTGAGTCATTAAACTTAAAACACCGAGCAGTAATTGAGCATCACACAGCAGAAAAAGCCACAGAAAGAAGCAGAAAAAGTATTTTCACTGCATAAACCATTAAAAGGCTACCGACTTAAATGCTTAAATATGATTTTTTTATATACCACTTATTAAATATGTTTTCCATGGGATGTAGATAAAAACTTGACTTTTATTCTTTTCCCTCCAGCCCACTCCTCCTCTGATATCAAAATCGTCAGTACTGAATACGGCATCATCCTCTCCTCCTCGGTCACGTATTACAATGAGGAGCTGCGTGTTGGATGGCTTCAAAAGTATGTCAAATCAACATTATTCACTTACATATAGGATTTCAAAATAACTTTTCCATTCTCATCAAGTATTTGCTTTACTTTACTTTGTTAGCCTCTGCCATGGAGCTTATTTGTTCAGTTCAGTTTGTGTTTTTGTCTGTTTGTCAGCAGGATTACAGAAAATGACAGGCTCAATTTTCAGGAAAAACCCATTAAATGTTTTCACTTTCAATTTCATAGCAAGATAGGACATTTGGCCTTGGTGTAAGCTCCACCTGAGTGCTTGGTGTTGGGTAAACACTAGATGTATCAAAAGAAAAACACACTCAAAGAATACAGCTAGTAAAAAACAATTAGAAAAAAATACATACACGCACAAATTACAGAAATGTACAGATAAGACTTAACATTCCAAAATATTATAATAATACTATTCCTACAAATAAATAATAAGGATGCATGAAACACAAAATATATTACAAAACATATTAAATATGCGTTTATGTTTTTCCAACAGCCAGTTTTTCAGCTTAATAGCAACAGGTTGTTCAGTCCCTCTCAAATCAGTTGGTCGTGTTTTCCATGTGATGTTTGCGAAGAAAAGGCTTTTTGTTTTTCAAAGCTTGCAAGTAAATGATCTCAAAAGGCTTTGGGGTGATTGAACATGTCTGTGATCAATTAGTAAATGGAATATGAAGGAGTATTTTTGCACTCATAAATATTTTTTGCTGCCATAGTTAATTAGTTTCTGATGCCTAATATTGCACTATTTTGACTATAATTATCCCTATCAGCTCTCCTGCACAATCTTCCCATGAATTATATAAAAAACAATCCACAGATGGGGACGAAATCTCCCCAACTGGTAGTGAGGTCACGTTTCTCATTTTGGTATAATACAGGGATGATTGTGCCGCTGCAATTACTGCTTTCCTGTCTGAATCCTGCTCTTCAGGGTACTCGATACTTTGAGTCAACAGTCTAGCCTTAATTGATCTCTGTGTTTCCCTTTTTTCTCCATTAGAGATGCTAAGATTTCTGTCTCAGAGAGAGTTAAGTCTGGAGTCACAGGAGAGGAGCTTTGGCTTAAAATCAATGAGCCCACTGAGAAGGACAAGGGCAAATACACCATGGACATCTTTGATGGCAAGGATGGTGTAAAGAGAGTCTTTGATCTGAGTGGCAAGGGTAAGTGAAACGTTTAAAGTCAAATGGGGAAGGTTCTTCAGACTTGTGAAACGATCTTAACAACTTTTTTTCTTGTGCAGCATGGGAAGAGGCATTTGAAGAATTCCAGAGGCTCAAGTAAGTAAACAAACAAACACATCTGACGCTGTTGTGTAACTCCGTTTGAAGAGGATCTTTACAAAAATAAATACTAACATCATCACAAACTTAAAATAGACTTTGTTCCACTTTGTGAGCCCTTTAACAAGCACAAACAAAATGCATTTCCTGCAATTGTAAAGCTAAGGGAAACAAAAATGTTGGCGACATTTCTGCGCTGTGATACTGTAAAAGATGCTTCTAAAAATGTCTGTGTTCTTCCTTCCGCAGGGCGGCAGCCCTCGCAGAAAGAAGTAAGTCATTATTTATTCGTTCTTTTCCCTGGTTAAAGATGAAATGGCTATTTTTCTACAATGTGGAATTGAAGAAAAAGAAACTTACTTTCAAAAGTTATTTAAAACATCATATACAGTATGCAGTACAGTCAAATCAAATATATTGAATGAGGGTGGTTAATTTACCAGTTTTGAAAGTCAGTTTTGGTTCATATTATGTTGTCAACACGCAGATGTTCCACAGGTTGAAACGCTGAGTAATGATTAACATTTGTTTATTGACTCACTCTGTATTTTCTGTTCAGATCGCGCTCGTGTGGTTGGAGGCTTGCCAGATGTGGTTGCAATCCAGGAGGGCAAGGTAAATAAATTCAGTACTAACACATTGTGTTAAAAGTCTTATAAAGTAGTTTGGTGGCTTTGAAAAGAGCAAAGATTCATATTAGCACTTCAGTTCTCCTCAGGAAAGGGCTGTCTGACTGGGCTGTGTACAAATTCCAAGTATAGCATTTACTTAAACTGATAATAATGTTTTAGAGTGGCTAAAATACTTTTTGTTAATGCCCCTGTCCACAGCAGTACATGGTGTATCTTCCATGCTGGTACTTTTGTTAGTTCTTCAAACTGTGGGCATGGGGAATGCAATACTGTAGTTAATACACTGAAAATGGATAAGTACATCACACAACCCCACTTTAAAACATTTAAACTATCCCTTTAAACGCTCTGTCTCCCCTTCAAATTACTATGCCATTATCTCATTCCTAGGAGTGTCTCCTTCCCTCTTAAATCTGTAAAATCCAGACTTGTTGCACACACTAAACCCCTGCATTCCTCTTTTTCTCTGTAGTCCCTGAACCTGACTGGAAATGTCTGGGGCGAGCCCGTACCTGAGGTGAGCTGGACGAAGAACGACAAGGAGCTGCTGTCTAATGAGCGCTATCAGCTCAAGTTTGAGCACGGCAAGTTTGCCAGCATCACAATCACCTCCGTCACCACGGCTGACTCTGGCAAATATGCCCTCCTGGTGAAGAACAAGTACGGAAAAGAGGCTGGAGAGTTCACCGTCAGCGTGTACAACCCAGAGGAGGAGGAGAAGAAAGGCTAAAGTATGATGCAGTGTAATGAAATAAAGCAGGAAAGATAAACGAATGGGCTTTCTCCAAAGCATTTTACCCCGGCACATGCCGGTGCACTGAGCAGTTTTAAATAAATGATTCATACAGCTGCTTCCTCCTGCGTCTTTCATGTGCTGGGCTAAAGAGCTTTGGGCATCGCTTGTCGAGGAAGCAAACAGTGGATGTGATACAGAGAGGATAAATGTGTGCTTTTAGTTGCTAGATATGTTTTCTGTCACTTGTGACCCTTTCAGCAGTAAATGTTATGTTTAATCTTGGGAGAATGTTGACCTGTCATTAATCCTTGATTTAGCAATGAAGGCCAGCAAAAGCAAGACACCGTTTTCTTAAACTATTACGGTTTTACATTTGGAAAACCTTTGACCTCTGAATCCAACTCATGCCTGAGGTTTATACACTGTAAAAAAATAAAGGAAAACACTGATGTCATGAACTTCCCTCCAGCTTTTTGCTTTGTGTCGTGAGACAATGGAAACGTGTCAGTGGATGTCACGCTCATGCTTGGTGTCTATTTGTAAACAGCTATATGTCTGAACTGTACTGTGTGCATGTATGTTGTGCCGTTAGTCAACTGTTGCAGGAGACATAACAGTTTGTAAGAGAGGTGGAACAGGTTAAACCTAATGTCGGTCAACACATCAGTTTCAAATGGATCTTTAAGTGTCACACAGCCTGAAAGCCGTATGCATTGTCATAAAGGCATAGCTTACATACTTTTGGAAGTCTTCTCGTGTAGGTTTCAGACATTGTCGAAGAAACTTTTTGAAAGTCAAGGAATGTTGTATTTCAAGGAAACCATAAAGGTAAGCCCTGCAGCATTTAGTGTCTAAAGTTAAACATAAGTCTGTTTTCTCTTCGAAGGCACTCCTTGTGATGAAGGTGCACAGGCTATAGAGAGGTTTCCTTTTTGTCTTTACATAATGGCCCATAAACAGCTCATTCATTGAGAAAATGCCTTAATTAGAACCACATAATGTGATTTTCAATGAGCTCAAGGGTTTTGGTGATTATTGATGGCCTTTTATAAAAGCTGCTCTAATGGTGGCATCTGATTTCTGCCTGCTTGCATTGCTGATGCCATTCACCATGAGTTCCCAAAGTGTGGCGCTGCACCCACAGTGGATCATTAACCCATATGGGCCCGCAACTGATAGTGTGAATTTGAAAGTGATTTTCTTATATATTTAGTATTTAGTCTCAGTATCCTTATATTCTAGGAATAAACAGTAGTCCCAAGTGCCCATAGAATAACTATAGTATGGTAAAAAAATGAATTTTTCTCAGAAACTAAATGGAGCACAATCCTATTTGGATTCTAAGTTTATTTTTTAAGGATACACACACATGCATGTACTGGGGAAAAAACTCAAAAGAGATGACATTTAATAAACACAGAGTAAATTACTGACTTAGACTATTGATTAAATAAGTATTTTATTGTGACCTAAAAAATATCTTAATTATTTTAGATATTTTCGCAAAGTTTGTCCATATCAAATGTCATGACCAATCAGAACCAATGTAGTGGGATTTTTCCATACTAAATATAGCCTTTGGGCACAAATGGGTCCTAGCCAAGAGACTGAGTTTATCTCTCACCCACATTTATAATCCTTTTTGAAATATCTGTCAATAAATGTCCTCTACACAGTGTTCAGGGCAAAGTCTTTCAACAATAAAGAAATGCATGTTGCTCAACGTACACTGTAATAATACTGTAACCCTGAGCAGTGTCAGCAGAGAGAGAGCAACGCCACTGTGCGGCTCCCTGTCCCATCAACTCTAGACAGTCAGCCACGGTGGTCCGACACAGACACGTCAGGAGGCTTCTGAAGGAGTTTCACACAAACATGGGGACTCACTGAAGGCACAACAACATCCTTCATCGGCAGCATCCCGCTGGAGCAACTGAAAGGTAAACAGTTAATGATATGATGATTTATAACCGTTTGATAGCCTCTCAAAACGCATATTTCTGAATACACCGTGCGCTAACGCTAGCTAACGGGCTAACATATTTTAGCTACGATGGATTAATTTAACACTGAAACACATAGCTAAAGGATTGGATATTAGGTCATAACGTTAAGCATTAACATGAACACTTCTCATTGAAACCAGCGACTTAGCAATAGCCGTGACTGTTACCGTTTGTTTTCCGTTTGCTTTAACGGTAACCCAACGATAACAGTAAAGCTAGCAGCGGGTCTGCAGCTAGCTGAGCCCTGTCTCCATTCATTTATTTTCCTCTCTTCTATTCCCTTCACAGCTGTTTATGCTTTTTATCTTCACACTTGGCAAGCAATACAGTACACAGTGAACATAATACATGATTCCGTGTTTGTTTTCTGTTTGTTTGTTTCCACATTTTCCTGTTCCTATAACGTTAATGCGGCTGTGTAATGCTGACATTTCAATCAAGCAATATGGCAGCTTTAATCTCCGAAATTAGCATGTTTAGCAGTGATGGAAGAAGTACTGAGATCCAGTGGTGTAAAGTAACTAAGTACATTTACGCAAGTAGGCTTACTATACTTAAGTACAGTTTTGAGGGACTTTACTACTTGAGTATTTCATTTGTCTGCTACTTTTGTTCTTCTCCCCCAGTACAATTCAGAGGTAAATATGGTACTTTTCCTCCACTACCTTTAGTAACTTTGCACATTTGAATTAATGATGTGAAATATAAACAACACTTAAATAAGACTTAAGTCACACCTGGAGTAAATCCACAAACTACCCTGTAGTATACAAAGACATTACAACTAGCTGCACCTTTACCAGCTTTGATAACACTTTAATAAATCAATAATTATAATCACAACATATATATTCATTCAGAAAATGGCCCATACTGTAGCATAACAATTACTTTTACTTTCGGTAATGTGATAGTTTTACTTTTGGTTAAGTACACAATCTTCTTCCACCTCTGCTTGGATCTTATAGTAAAAGTAATAATACCACAGTGTACAAATACTCTGTTACAAGTAAAAGTCCTGCAATCAAAATGTTACTTAAGTAAAAGTACAAAAGTGTAAGCATGAAAATATAATTAAAGTACCAAATCTAAAAGTACTTTAAGAGGCATTTTCAGAATAATATACATTACATCAACGGTTTATAAATAGTGATGCATTCATGTGTCTATCATTTTAATTTTGCAGCTGTTATAGTAGTAGAAGAAGAAGATATACTTTATTAATCCCTTACAGGGAAATGTCTTTCCCCACTCTGTTGTGTTTACACACATTACACACACAGGGGAGGATATACATGCACAAACACAGAGGATATACACACACACACACACACACACACACACACACACACACACACACACACACACACACACACACACACACACACACACACACAACCACACACAGATAGGAGAGGTGGCAGAGCAGAGAGGCTGCCAGGTACCCGGCGCCAAGGGAGCAGTTTCGAGGTTAGGTGCCTTGCTCAAGGGCACCTCGGCAGTGGTGCAGTCAAAGTACACGTATATTGTAAAGCTTGGGTTCATCATGTTTTGAGGAAAGTTCAGTTGTTGTGGTGGGATGTAACTAAGTATATCTACTCAAATACAGTACAGTACGTCAGTCCAACTTAAACATACATCAATAGAGTTGGCCTTTTTTTATTTGCTGCTACTTTGTACTTCTATTACTTTAAAGTTACATTCCACAGAAAAATACTGTAGTTTTTAATCAACTACATTTACTTGAAAGCTTTATCTACTAGCTACCTTTTACATGAACAGACCTACATTTGCTCGACCTTAAATCTCTTAAAATGTATCCTTAAACTAAAACACAATAACTTAATATACACATGTTTAATAAGACACTGTAAAAGGAGCCATTCTGCATAATAAGTACTTTTACTTTTTATACTTGAAGTACATTTGGCTATAAATAGTATACTTTTACAACAACATAACACCATTTTGAATTCAGTATTTATAGACTTTGGCATTCCTACATTTACTTATGTAAAGAGTCGGAGCACTTCTTCCACCTCTGGTGCTGCCACCTCACCAACCAGACCTGCATGTGGGGGGTATTTAGCTCAAACCTCACTAGTTTAATGTTCATTTATTTTCAGGCACTTTATGTAAATACTATGACTGAGGTAATCATGACACCTCATGATGAGCACTAAATGGGACCTGATTTGCACTCAGTATTTTGTGTTTACTAGCTAATACTAATGTTATTTTAATATTAAAATGTTGTTTTTTATAATGACTGTGCAGTTCTTTTTAGATGGCTTTCAAGATGTGTTTCATTACATTCATTGTCACATAACAGTTTGTAGTTTCAACAAAGGTTGATCATATATCTTCATATCATATATCATTATGTCTTCAAAGGTTTATTGCAGGAGTGGTATGAAACATCTATAAACTGTGTGTACCCAATAACCTTAGCCAAAGCTAACCGACTTGGTTTCGGTTTTGACTTTGAGTATTTTTTAACCCTGTGAATTAAATCTCATAGAAGAAGATTTACATTTTTACAAACATGAAACACATTTGTCCAGACTTCACTTTTCTATACTTAATTGATTGATTTAAAAGAAAAGAAGAAGCACTTTACGTTGTTCTTGGCTTCTTCTTTCTCACAGGGCGTTTCTGCAGAATGTGCTAAATTAAAAACCGACACGGTCTGTCTGAGGTTGTGGTTTTTTATGGTTTCTTTTACACACATAAACAGTAGGCTCATTTCCGTGCAGTTCGCTGAAACCCTAATACTTGAGAGAGTGTAACATGAACCCTGTGTTGTCTGGCTGGCCTGGCGCTCAGTCACAGTCAGGTCTGAGTCTTTTGTCTCTCCCTCAACACAAATTAGCTCTGTATCATTTTCACATGAAGAGCATAATAATGATAGTGACTAGGACCATAATAGTCATGCCTGGTTCTGAATGGTACGAGTACATCATGTATTTATTAAAGAAAAGGGCTTTCGACATTGTTTCCCCCTTAGTGTTTTCAGTTACTGCTGAGTTATTTATGACTTGGCACACAGAAGATTTCCCCCTTAAAGGAAAATCTTATTCTATTTATGCATGACATGTCAAACATTCAAAGAGAGCAGATCCTAACACAGAGGGAGGATGTGCCCACAGTCCCACACCCAGTAGGCCCATGTGTTTTGTTTGGTAGTGTTTACAAAAGGCTTAGCAGATGGCAGAGTGAGGCCTTTTTGGAAGAGCCTCATGCTTGCATTATGTTTATCTCAGGCATTCACTTAGAAGCTAAATGAGGCAGGCGGATGCTGGAAGTCGAACTAAAGGAAACCTCCAGATGACAAAAACATGTTTGAACTCATCAATGCTTGGACTACAGTCTCCGCAGTGTACCAATTCCATCTGTGTATTCTATCTATATTGAGCACTTTGGCTAATAATAGCTTTATTGATATTTGATACAGTCTAACCCTCAGAGAGATTATCTCTTTGGTATTTATAGAACTTTCAACTTTTCACTTTTTTTTTTAAACATGACCCAGATGTCAACAAGTTCAAGGGCAATGAGCAACAAAGGAAAGCATGTTAAAGTCCGATGTACAGATATCCTATTGGTCGACTTCTGCAGACTCTATCTATGTCATTTGATTAGTCATGCTCAATAAAAAGCACATGCAGTAAAGATCGTACCGTACATGTGACTGACTGACAGGACATGAACATCATGCTTTTATCCTGAGCATGTACTCTTATCAGGGGAAAAACATTGCTTAGCCGTTCACAGGAATTAGCTGTCCCTTATCAGCCATTGGCCACCACCTTAAAGGGGCCATCCTATTGGCTGATCCCTTAGTGTCCTGTCACGTGACTGGAAGAGCACAACTTGCAAAAAATAGCCAAGATGTCAAAGTTTATGGCGGTGTTGCGTAATCACGCCAGATAGCGGTGAACTTGTATTTACCCTTCGGTTACTTCAACGTGATTAGATGGGCCACATTATGAGATTGGATTCAGGATGGCAGGGAGGCATTGTGATCATAATCTGAGGGGAGAAAACATTGATCCCAGTGGAGTATCCTGAGGTGGGGAGAGTAAGAGCTGGTGCTCTACTCACTGTAATGAAGAGACAGCGATCCTGGGGGGACAGGGAGCTCCTGGGGGGGAACACAAACGACAACACAGACTACAGTGAACAGAATGAGTCCTTGTCTCTGAGGTCGTCTTGGTCCCTGGTGAGTCAACTGACCGCCGGTCATTTAGTCGGCTACAGCTTTGGCGTGATGCCGCAGGGCCTGCTGATCCGTTATTCATTCTGTATTGTGTGGTTTGGCAGGTTGTCTGGAGTTATTGGTTTACTATTGTAGGCAAGGGTGTGATACCAACCTGACCACAGTGAGTCAGATGAATGCCTGTTTTATTAATTGCTTCATTCAAGACTGTGTTCAACAACTGTGAAAGAATAGGTTGAAGAGGTTGTAGTTGATATGGTCTCAATCCAAAAAATCTGGTTTTGTCACAAAGCCTACAAAGTCTCGTCTATTATGCTAGCAATTTATTCTCAACAATTTCAAACCTGTCCTATAATGATTTGTTTTTGGGTGTAGCTACTTGCTTGAAATGTAACTTTTGAGTAGAATTTTAAATGAAGGAAAAGACAATGGCATGTTTGTCACACGTGAATGTGTTTTAGATAACTGAATACTGGCACCTTTCCAGATAGCTCCTGTGTAAGGGTCATCAGTCACAGTCTTTGAATGTAGAATTTTCCTTATTATGTATCGATGTCTTTACAAAGGTTTAGATGCCATGTTTCTCTGCACTTGGTGTTAACACTGGCAGTCCAGGAGGCTTTGCACCTGCAATGCAACTTTCTGTGGTGTAAAATGAAAGTGTAAAGCGTAACTCCCCAAACGTGTGGTGTTAGCTTGATAGCAACAAGACCGCTTTTGGTTTCAAGAGACAGATGAAATCCAGATAGAGAAACAATAGAATTGAAAAACAACATGATACAATTGGACACTTTACCCCTGACAGAGGCACAGTGAATTTAAAACACCCCCAGGGCATTCAAAGAAACCACGTGGCTAGATACATACATATTATATATATTATTATTATTGTTACTATTATAATAATTCACAACTCATTCATTCTGGCTCCAGCAACCCCAAGCGTCTCTTCTCCGCCATCAGCGAACTTCTCAAACCCTGTGACAACGCCACCTCATCCTTCACCACCGAACAGTGCAACTCCTTCCTCTCGTCTTTCCAAACCAAAATCAGCAACATTTACAGCAATCTGACCCCCTCATCAGCACTCCCTTCCTGACTTCCCCCCCTTCACCTCAGAGCCCCTGCCCCACTTCTCCCCTGTGACCCCCATGCAACTGTCCCACTTCATGACTGGAATTAACTCCACCTGCACACTTGACCCTCTACATGTGTTAAAGAGAGCTGCCATCTCCCAGCTCATCGTCATCATCATGAACTCCTCCCTCAGATCTGGATCAGTTCCCCCCCTCTCTCAAACTGGCTGCTGTCACACCCATTCTCAAAAGACCTGGACTCACAACTGACATCATGTCCAACTTCCGGCCCATCTCAAATCTCCCCTTTCTGTCAAACGTGTCATTGCCTCACAACTAAAATCCCACCTCAGCTCCAATGACCTCTTTGAGCCATTTCAATCCGGTTTCCGATCCAAACACAGCACCGAAACAGCTCTTCTCAAAATCACAAACGACCTCCTCTGACTCCGGCAACCTGAACATCCTCATCCTCCTCGACCTCACCGCAGCATTCGACACCATTGTATTATTTGACTTTAACTATATATATTTATTTGTTGTTCTTTTCTTTTCACTATATCTGTAAAGCGTCTTTGAGCACCTGTAAAAGCGCTAACAAAATAAATCTATTATTATTATTATTATTAAATAGTTTGGCTTTCGTAACATTTCTGTTAGTTTAGAACTCATTTTGTCCGCACATGCAGTTGTAGTAAAAATAAAACGTAGGGATAATGGATTTTTTGTGTTTTAGAGACGTTTTCCATTGTGTCTGGTTACTTCTCTTCAGATTGTAGTTTCATGTTATCTTCCAGAGGAGTGTCATTGTAGTGAATGTCAATAAAGGGCCTCAACTTTTCTTTGTCTACACATGAGGGTTGATGTTCTTTGAGAGAGGTCATTGTTGTTGACAGGCCTCGTATCAAACCATATAAACCTTTTATAGCGTTCTTTGAACTGTCAGTGATAGCTATGATCTCATAAATATTGCACATTGTGTGTGGTTAGAGTGGTTGATATCTGAGTGTACTTATTAATATTTTATTGCTATCTAATCATTAACACTCTAGTAAAACAAATCATGCCAATTTCCCATATTCTATGATGCCACCCTAGCACAAATGTGCCTATTCTCTACCCTACAAGCCCCCCCCATCACCCAATGTACTCATGGCTTGACTCCGAACAAAAGGTCAGTGTGAGATAGGAGCGTTTGCAGGTTGCATAAAGTCATGAAGTCAGCAGGGGAACATGTTTACAAGCCCAACTCGACTAGACCCTGACCTGAAAAAACCCAAATCATGTTTTGCTAATGTCACAGCGAAGTAATGAAGGCAAATAGTCTTAAGTTCAGTAATGAGGCCAGAGGAAGGAAGGAAAGTTTGTCTGATTAACTGTGGCCTGTTAGTCATTTTCTCTCTGGTTAAGTAGCATAAACAGATTGCTTGTGAAGGAATTTACAGTCTTAGAAACTCCTACCGAGAAACAAATAGTGCTTTGAGAAAATTTTCCGGGTTAATCCAAGTCCATTTATAATTAGCCCCAGAGCTACGGCTTTTAGTGTTGTATTTAATAAACATAGCTCAGAGGTAGGAATATAAACAGGAAGTCAGCTGCTTTCATTGCATCAGGGCAGTGGGATCTCTGTGTTAGGTTTTCTCTTCTCATTGTTTTAGCCCGGCAGTCAGCCCCCCCCCTCTCCCCTCTAATGTGGTTCATGTGGGACAGCGGCCAGTAACAGGGTAGCAGTGGCACAGTCTGTATCCAGGTCAGGAGATAACAGACAACAGAGGGCAGAGAGAGCTGGGAAATAAAAGCTAAAGACAAATGAGACTTTCCAAAAACGATACTTAAAAGAAGAGACAACAGTGAGTAGATTGTGAGAGAGCTAAGTCAAGTGGGAAATGATACGGCTTTACAAATTGTGCTCCCCGGGACGCTTGCTGAGCAATACTTCCTCTCATCCTGTGTTTTCCTTAACTCAGATAATATTCTGTTGTTTTCCTCCTCCAGGCGGACACCATGAACTACGTGGGCCAGCTGGCAGGACAGGTGCTGGTAACCGTCAAAGAACTGTACAAGGGCATTAATCAGGCCACATTATCGGGCTGCATCGATGTTGTGGTTGTCCGCCAGAGAGATGGCACTTACCAGTGCTCGCCATTCCACGTGCGCTTTGGCAAGCTGGGGGTACTGCGCTCCAAAGAGAAAGTGGTGAGTTATAACTCAATTATTTTATTTGATCTGTTTGTTTTGTCTTCTCTCACTGACAGGTTGAAATCATGTAGTCATTGAAATGATCGAGCTCCATTTCAAGACACTTCCACACTTATAAACGTACAATTCAGGCAGTGATAGTGTGCCAACTACTACGTGTTTTGTTTTCCTTTAAAGAAGCAGGCACTTATCGAACAATGGTTACTTTAATGAACAAGTTGGAGCTTCATTGTCAGCGTTAACAGGCTTCAAGAGAACATTCAGTTTCAGTGGCTAGTAAGTTTGTGTGCAAACTAAGCCAGATCATATTCGGTTTTGTTTTAGGTTTTACATTTAAGGATACTGACTCCTAATTTAAAGCCTGTACACCCTACAAATATCTGTTTACACATATTAAAAAGAAAAGAAGGGAAACTAAGGAGTTAGGACTTGAGGGTTGTCGCTGTTCTTGCTTAAATGAATTACTTGCAAAATGTGTTGCTTGACACATTTTGCGACTCTGGCTAGATGTTATGAAATTCCATACTGGTCCACCACCAGTGTGGTCTCTCCTATTTGCCTGATTGGATCAATTGAGGACAGTGTAGGCTTGTGTTGACTTCTCCCTGAGTCACCGTATCTTAACCCCTAGATTCCACCGGGTCCGTCTGCGGCACGTTACGGCAGCGCCGCGGTTTTGGTCCGGCGTCATACCCTACCGGGCGCGTTTCAGAAGCATTTCAGAAGCGGAGCGTCTTGCCTCCCGGCTCGCAGTTGTTGTTGATTTGGGCATATTTCCTGGACAGACTACTTTGTACAGGCAAAGTTAATAATAATTGTAATATCCCAGTTATAAACGACATGAATCAAAGATGTGTTGCTGTATTTTAGTGGTAAAAAAATGCATTCATCATCATAATTATTCTATATATATAATTTACACAGTGCCTGTAAACCGGAGGAGAACGCTGGCATTTCTCCTCCTACTTGAAAGACTACGGAGGGATAGGGTCTGCAAAATTAGCTTCTGGGACGCTTCTGAGCCGTAACGCGCCGCGTGTGGTGGAATAGCACCCATTGACTAGAGTGGCCGCGATCGCCGTGAGCACCGCGGCGCAGTCGTAACGCGCCGCAGACGGACCCGGTGGAATCTAGGGGTAAGACTTCCCTGCAACTGGACTGTGGTGATGAGCATAATACATATATATTTAGCAAAGGGATCACAAACTATAAAACAATTTCTTTGCAAAAGTTATAAAAAAATGATTTTGTTTTTGTGTCTGGTAGTGTAACGTTGTGTTTAACAGGGTTATGTTTCTCTTATCATTGTTATTGGTATGTTGAAACTGGTGACCTTCCACCAAAAATACATGTTTGTTTATGTTGGTTTAAAAATACTTACCCATGTTTACGGAGGTCTTTTTTTAGCAAGCTAGACTTCAGATTTGTTTAGTTTTCTTTGGATTTCTTTCACATTTCCAATTCAAAAGTTGTAGAGAAATCATCTGCATGCATCACTTATGTAAGTTTAGCAGTCAGGTTACCCGTTATCATGTCATAGGGTTTCTACCAAAATGAAATGCTCATCAATAAACCATTCAGGGAAATGTTTGGCTCTGTTTGCGGAACATAGATAGCGTTGGATGTTCTCTTCTATTCTCCCTCCTTAAAAGTAGTTGTTACTATATGTTCTTGCCTGAAGATAAGATCCAATTAATCATGGTTCAGGAACAATGGTCCTATTTTTAGTGCTTAATTCTCACTTGAGAAAACGACTCCTTTGTGTTGGCCTATTTGATGGGTGAGGTACTGTAGAGCAAGTTGAGCCGACTTTGGTAGTACATTTAATACATGTTTTATGTTTCAGTATTTATATGCAACTGTGACTGAAAGAATATTGCTTTTATTTTACTTTTTAATAGTTATTTCATTTTATTTATTTTTTGTTATTTTTTTGTAAGAAGGGACAGGTCAAATACGATTTTCTTCTCCTGCTCCTTTCCACCATTTGCTTTAAAAAAATAGTATAAGTGTACATGTTTTGTAAAGTGTACATGTTTTGTTTTAAAATAACCACCATGTGTGGAATAAACAAATAAATAAAGGTGAATATAGAAGTAAATATATTAAGTTTAATAAATAAATGCAAACAACACAATAGAAAATGACAGCACACAATATCAACCTTAGGATGATAGGGCAGATAATAAATACTACTAATATTTTTGGTTATATTTTTAAATGACCACAATCTTATTTGTGATAAATAAAATGAAGGTCAATCAGTTCAATCAACTTATATAACAAAAAATCTTGGTAGTCAGTCAGTAATAAGTGATGGCTAGAATTCCACTGCATTCAAAATGTAATATTTCTTCTTCCATCCCATAAACGTTGAACTTTTCCATGACTTCTATTCTTAGCACAGTAACGGTGCGCCCTGACTTCATTAAAAGAAAGCCTGTTTACATGGATGTGAGTGGGTGATGATCTGCGGGGGTTGAATCTCTCTCACCAACTACCCAGAATGCTGATGGGCTCATAGGGAGGAATGAATGAATGAGTTTCTATGGCAACAGCTCTACAACTTGAGTGTGTGGGAGGGGGAGGAAACGTGAGGAAGAAGGCTTCGACAACAAGAGCTGTTGTGTAACAGTTGTGCACACGTTCCTGAGATACAGTAACTCATCAGATCCTCGAGGGCTGCTGCTAAATATATATGTTTTGGAGAAGTTACTGGACCAAATAGTGTTATGATATTTGTCCCTGACGCGCAGATATTTAAATATTTACAGAGTGGGAATTAGGCTTTGGTTGCCAGCTAAATCTAATTAAATGTTGGCTGTGCGTGTACATTAGTCACTTCGGTTGGCAATCAGAAATGTTTTTAAAGTGATTTTTGATTCCAAAAACATTTGGGAAAAGAATTAAAAAGAAAGTAGAAACTTCAAAACTACATTGGCTGTCAGAAAAAAACAACTTGGTGGTACCATGGGTTAATTTCCAACATCTGCCAGCATCCATTGCCTCCAGTAATTCCAGTTACCCAGCGTGGTGTTGGCAAATCCCCAACTCAGCCAAGTGAAGGTAACCTGTCCTCGGCTGTGAAAGGCTGAAGAGGACTGTCATTTATTCCGCCTCATTATTAATTGGGTATTAAAATTCTCACCGTACATAAATTGCCCTTAGCAACCCCGAGGATGTGAAATTAAATCTTGAGGCTGCTGAGAAACCACACCAGCAATAAAGCACATCAGCAAATATACAACATGGATCACTAGAGCAAAAATGAAAAACAGATTGGTAGATGTTGAGAATGAATATTAATGATTTGGTTTCAGGTTGTCAGACTGGGCTTATCATTAGTGAGTCACATTATTCCTCCACGAGTCTCTGCCAGACGTGATCTGGTTTTTGCTTTTGTGGTGTCAAGTTTCTGAATGGCCTCAGGTCAGCTGGGGGCTTGCCCGGCAAACATGAATGGCCCTGCTGGCAGGCTCAGAGCACCCATACACACATATAGTTATTGGGTCTTAGAAAGCCCCGGGAGAAAGATGGGGCTGTAAGCAGCTACGGGCTTTCTATGTGACCTGACATTGAATGCTGTAAGTACAGTAAAACATGACCTAATTAATTGTTTTACTTAATTAAAAAGGCATAATCAACACCCTTTACAGTCTCCTTTTTATGTTTTTCTTTTTAAAATCAGTTTATTTTGATATGCATTAGCTTGTCTTAAACTATTCCCGTTCCCTTATCCTCGAATTATTCCCCAAGAAGCTCTGATCCGATCCTCTTTATGGTCCTTTTGGGTCAAAGGAATTTCGAAAAAAACGCTTTTATGTTTCTGGCTCCTTCTGATGGTTCTCATCATTATGCTTTTTAAAACATGTTCTGTTGTCTAATCTTCAAACAAATGTTTTCTGTATCCTTATCATAGTTCCTTTTTTATATATCGATTATTTTAGTTTTGAACGTGTCTAGTCTATGGTTGTGACTCTTCTACTGTTTGATTGTTCTTTTTGTTTGTTTGACTTAACTTTTGCTTAATTCTTCCAGATTGACATCGAAGTGAATGGAGAGCCAGTAGAGCTGCACATGAAGCTTGGTGACAACGGAGAGGCCTTTTTTGTAAAGGAAGCCGAGGAACTGAATGTGAGCATACAAACACATACTCAGATTAATTAACACCATTGGGAAAAATGAAATGAAATAGAAAAGCTGTTGCACAACATTTAATTTGGATGCCTTTGTTCTGTATAATTCATAGAAGCCAAACTATTTATTATATACATCATGTCAAAAGTTTTGTTGTGTTGTTGTTATAGTAGACACCGTTTTAGTATGAGACAGTCTTGTGTTTCAGCCTGGAAGCCAATGTCATTCTCCTTTGACATATTATTCAGTGAAATGTTAAATCAATACCGTAACAGATTATTTTGAGAAAAGTCCACACTTAGTAAACAGCCCTTCCAGTTTCAGCATGGAAAACAGAAAGGCCTTCAGGGACGTGCAAGTGTGAGGAAGTGTTTTTTTGAGGAAATAATTGCACCACTGTTTTGTAGTTGCTACATCTGACAGTCGACCTGTACCAGCCAATAGGAATCCTTAATGCTGCTTTTGTTTACACTTGTTTACATCTTAAGCCCCAAGCTCTCCTATTTGTCATAATTCTCCTCGATGCCTCCACAGATTGTCCCCGCCCACCTGGCCACCTCCCCGATCCCCACGGAGAGTCACCTGTTCTGGATCTCGGAGGTGGAGCACAGAGCCCCAAAAGGTCTGGAGGATGACCCCGCAGACCCAGAAGACCCCCCCGAGCCTCCTGCACCCAGTACCGGGTCCACAAAAAAGAAGAAGAAGCGGAGGAAGAAGCACAAAGGAGACCCCCGAAGAGAGGAGCTGACCCCGCCCATGTCGGTCACTACTGGAAACGCTATCGCTGCTAACATACCTGCTGCTGCTACGACTGCTCCTATGTCCAGCGCTGGGCAAAATGAGGAGATCTTTGAGATGGACCTGAGCTCTGACGAGGGGGGATCAGCACATGTCTCAAGGTAGGTTCAGGGTCAATGCTCACTGTTATAGAAGAGTTGATTATTATATTTGTGCTTCACCTAGTGTAAAACACGTCAGATATCATTTCATTTAGTCTTAGTCCTGTGTCTAATGTCTTTGTTAGCTATCATAATCCACCTTATCCTTTTATGTTGTCTTTTTTAATCAAGTTGACAAGAATTCCAGGCATTTAATGGCACATTTCCACTGCAGCGGGGTAGCCCCGTTTAAGCGTCCCTAAGCGTCCTCGCTCAGGCCTCGGACTGCCTCGTTGGCCGTCCGAGGCCGTGGTGCATTTCCATTACAGTTTAGGACCTGGGGTAGCAACGCAGTGTAGGCGGGGCGATCGGCTTTTTTTTTTAGATGTAGGAACGTCGTCACCTCCTCGGTCGACCACGGTGTGCTTTTCTTTGACGTTGCCATTTTTGTAGCTCCTCCGTTTACAAAAATGCTGTGTATAAAAATGCTGCAAGCTTGCTTCTAGATATATATGCGACGCTAGGGATGATCTCGCGCGCGATCTTGTGACGATTCTCTCTGCCAATCAGCAGTCGAGAGTGTTGACGTCACTAGTTCAGCCCTGGCCCTGGCCTGATAGCACCACGATTTTATGGGGCCGGAAAAAGAGGGAAAAAGTACCCGCTAGCCGGTGCTACGCTATATGGAAAGGCCACCAAAAACTGGCCTGGCCGCTTGAGGACGATTTAAGGACGCTTAAACGGGGCTACCCGCTGCAGTGGAAATGCGCCATAACTGTACTGAGTATCACTATACTCGATCCGTCCCCCTGCCCGATCTGTACTGCTCATGTGCGAGAGCAGGGTGTTCTGCAACCAAGCAAAACAAAANATCTGATGGATTTGGACATAAACACGAGTGAAGTATAACCGGACGCGAGAGAGAGAGAGACCAGCACCTGCAGCTCTGCCCGCTGTGAGGGACCGGTGAGCGGAGAAAAACACACCTTTAGACGTCAACTAACACATTTAGCTATGGCACTGTCGTGTATGTATGTATATATATATATATACATTGAATTATTCAATTTGATAATATGTAATCAAAAATTTTTTTTAATAAAGATATTCATAACTCATATTTGAATACATGAATAATTATTCGAATACCTGAATAATTTTGAATATTCGATTAATCGTTCCCATCCCTACTAGAGATATCTTAAGTATTATTATATAAATAATATTAAAAGTTCATGTCCTATATAAATATTGAACAAAGCTTAATTGTCTCTGCTTTTTCAGATATTATAACTGGACATTAGCTGCACCCTTGATTCTGAGTCTACAAGCATTTCAGAAGAACTTACCAAAGGTACTGTGATCCCTGTATCCAGTTCAATGTATTGTCATTACTAATGGATTATTGTAAATCTGCAACTTGCTCCTCGCTAACGGTCTTTATTGGTTTATTCCAGGCTACAGAGGAGGCTTGGATGAAGGAGAAAATGCCAAAGAAGTCGGGCCGCTGGTGGTTCTGGAGAAAAAGGGCAGACAGTTCAATCAAGCAGGTGTGTAATGCTTTCAAAAACAAAACTTGCACTGCAGAAAGTCACATCCATAAGTACAGTTTTTTTTTTAAATATTCACTTTATGTCCTCTGATATTTTAATTCTTCCAGTCGGAGACTAAGCTTGAAACAAAGGAGGACTCTCATCCGGAGGAAGAAGGAGCCTCCATGTCTCAGGAGAAACTGCCCCTGCCGTAAGTGGAACCAAAGGTTTATTGTTACTCAGTCAAGTGAGTTCAATGACTTGATGAACTCCAGCATGAGATTGTAAAAAAACATCCACAGCTTATAAATCAGTTTTATGACAAGTCGTCATGATCACGTTGTATTGTGCGACATTGAATTGTAATCTGCTTCAAATCTTAAACAGTTTAGAAGCTGCAAAATAGTTAAGTAGGATCAAAGCATGCATTTTGTTTACACTTAGAGTAGACATAGAGTGGTTACTTCACCCACAGCCAACATGTTTTAAAGCTACATATAGATGCAGGAATTTGATAACGCAAATTGTTTTTGTTTCCCGCAGGCCTAAAGCCGGAGACTCCTCCAGTGATGAAGAGGCCAAGGAGGTGAGCGCTGCTTCCTGTCAGGAGAGACTGCAGCCAGTCGATGTTCAGCACCACCCGAGCCCCCCCACTTACAGGAAGTCACTACGCCTGTCCTCTGACCAGATAGTGAGTACATTCTTACACAAATGTTGTCCTTCCTCAAAATCACCGCGCCAACTTCTTTAAAAGTATAGCACCCTACTGCTTAACTGTTTTATAATATTACTATCCCTCTGAATCTCAACACCCTACCAGCGGCTTTGAAATAATGATCAGTGATGCAAATTAGTCGCTTTTCGGCGCCTCCCGCTTTTTTAACGCTGCTTTGGGTGACTTGTGTAATTCGTGGAGAACCGAAGAGTTTTCGTTTTTTGGGGGGGGGGTCGTCCGTTAGTCCGACCGACTGACGGACTACTTCTCACTTCAAAAAAGAAGAAGAAATCTAGATCGCAAAATAATTAAACAAGCGAGTACCTGTTTTTCCTGGCCAAGGACAGGTTCCTTGAACACAACACGAGCGTAACGTGTCTTCACGTGGTTATTTCTAAAGGAGTGTAGACTAGAGTGCTTACGGAGAGCACCGGAACGCCGCTCCAGCTCTTCAAATATTGCAGTACCCATAAGGAGCCGTACACATGCCGCAGTGTTTGCGTGGCTGTGTCTTTATTTGTAAGCACAGTGGCGATCTGTTATTAGCATCTGGTTAGCTAGCTATGCTAACGAATTTAAAGAGCTTTTCTAAAACCAGGTGGAAGAGAGCTCTCTCCTGAGAGGCTCAAATAACCTCAGCTCAGTGAGGTTAAGGCACACCTTGATATGATCATTATAATCATTAGTGGACACAACTTTCTCAGTGAGGTACTCAGATGAGTACCTGGAGTAAGTGTTTGGTACTCCAACTTCCGGCTCCCCTCAAAGTTCCCATGAAGCCCTCTGTGTCGAATGTCAANAGCGTTTGTCAGATGGTATATCAGATGGTATATTACGCTGTTTTTTTCCTGCTTCGAATAGTTCTCTCTTTTTTCACCATACCTGTGTTTGCATCACTGAATTATAGTACACCATTTTCCAGAAGTAGAAACATTCCAAAATTGTTCAAATGATTGTCAGGTCATGTACAAATAACATGAAAATGTGTGTCCTCCCAGTGCAACTGCTAGGCCTTGAAAGACTTGGCTGTGGGCCAACAGTCATGGGACATAAAGTCAGTGGAACCTCTGAAATGTAGGCTGCTTGGGAGAGAGGAGAGTTCAAGAGTGATTGTAAAAACTAAAATAGTTCAGTAACAATCGTATGTAGAGCTTCCATTTACGTGAACAACACTGTTAAAAAGTATTAATTAGAGATTACATTTTTAGCAAAAGCGATTATTCACATTAACATTAAAAGTGTGTCCTTTTTTACTTTTTATGTATAAGTTTGTAACTGTTTGAGTTCCATACTTCGAGCCATGATTGCTTTATTTCCTTAAAGTTGCAGTGTTAATTCTTTGTAAAATGAGGCCACAGAGAGTACAATGTGACGGCGCTCTAAAACTGCTTTGGGTTCAGAGAGTTCAATTGTTCTTTATATTGAATCCTTCTCCCTTGTATCTGGTTTTCAGAAAAGGTGATTGATTATTAACTGAAGTGTCGAGTACTGAATGAGATAAATGGTTATTTTGAAGTGTAGAGCTCCCCCTGCTGCCTCTCTTTGACCTGCAAAGTGTTTGTTCTGCTTCCAGTCAGTAGGGGGCTCTAAAGACCTGTCAACGTTGATTGTAATGTGGCAAACAAATCATACTGGGGAGAAATGTCTGCACTGTTGGGACACAGAAAATGAAATTGCCTCCAGATGCCTTTCACTGTCTTCCTTGTGTTTCCAGGCCAGTCTGAAACTGAAGGAGGGACCTAACGATGTGATGTTCAGCATCACCACCCAGTACCAGGGCACATGCCGCTGCGAGGGCACCATCTATCTGTGGAACTGGGACGATAAAGTCATTATCTCTGACATCGATGGCACCATCACCAAGTACGTACCGCACAACAACAGTGTCATAACCCCTCTAATCAGAGTAACAATGCTGCACTTCAATTAGGCGTTATTCATATTTGATGAACCTGCATAGCACATTAATTTACATGTAATTACTGCACTCAAATGTGAGACAAACTAGGTTTTAGTGAGATTAACAAAACAACAAGTCTAACATCTTTACATATTCTGATTTAAGGGCAGTAATGAAATGTACTGCACTACATTGTCTTAGGCTTTTCAGTTGTTCACTCTCATCCTTAATTTTTACCACAAATTGATCAAGCATGTAACAGGGTGATTTAGAGTATCACCCTGTGCTACTTTTGCCATGAAAAAAGAGAACTGTGTGTAAGGCACCATCTGTGGAGGTGCAATGCTATTTAAAGCTACAAATTGAACACCTATGGCACCTACATAAGGCTTGCTATTTGACTAGTGTGATCACTGCAGTGATCACACTAGTCAAATAGCAAGCCTTATGTAGGTGCCATAGGTGTTCAATTTGTAGCTTTAAATAGCATTGCACCTCCACAGATGGTGCCTTACACANCATAGTCCGGTAATTATTTACACTCTAAGAAGAGTCCTACACAACAGACATGGCGTCAAAAAGGAGTAATGTGTGGAAATATTTCGACCAGGTTAGTGAGTGCGGTGTGGAGGTCAAACTATGCCAAATTAAACTTATATATACATGCTATACCTTGCTATACCCGCAACCTCCGTTCCAGCTGAGAGGGTCTTCTCTACAGCTGGGTTGATTGTGAATCGCCTCCGCACATGAAAGCTGTAGGCCTATAGCTGTCAAACTGTGATCACCAGTTCAATACATTTGAAAAATTCGACTTGATTTCTACACTTATTTGAACATGTATGTATTTATTTCCAAAAATTATTGAAAAGAAATTGGGTAAAAAAAAAATGTAAAAAAAAAAAATTTGAACATTTTTTTGAATTTTTTTTTTTTACCCAATTTCTTTTTTTATTGGATGTGTACATTTCAGTTAACCGGTTAACCGTTTTTTGGGGGGTTGAATATTCGAATATACATTTGCTTTCAAATTCCCATCCCTAATAGTACATTTTACGTGTGAAATAAATGTTTCCTTACCTATTTCCTATTTTCACTACCAGGTTGGGGTTATCGATAATTGCTGGGCTTTCAGCAAATTCACTATAGATGATGATATGCTCCATGAACCTCTCTGCAAACACAGAAGGGAGAGGAACATTAATTATAGACAGCAGATGAAAAGGTCAGTGGTGGAGAGCCATATCATTTTACTTAGAGCCACAGAAAAAGGTCAGAGACGTTTTCTTCCATCTGCCACATTAGTTAAGGGCTTCTAAGAAACACTTCCAGCAGGAAGTAAAATACTCAAGAGATAAATTTACTTTTGGGATTCAACCCCAGTGAAATAAATCCTTGTGGGCTCAAAGGGAAATGTTGGTGCAATCATTGTTAATGTTACACATAGAAAGAAGATTTCTGTGGCTGGAAGCATTCTAGTGACGCAAATACAGTGGGAAATTCCAATGTTACATAATGAATTTACCGGTAGTGTCTTCTACTCACTGAGGTTAACTTCCTACCCTGCATAAAAGTACTAAGTGCACTTTCATCTACATTTTTTATGAGTGCTATTCTGGTGTACCTTTGGATATTTCAGCATTTTCTGTGAGGCCTCCACACAGAGAAAGAGTGACGTCGGGGAGGTCACTCGCTGAGTCAGAAAGACACTCTGTGCCGCTGTCAGCCGCCGCGCTGCCCACCGACTGAGGAGACTGAGAGCCGGAGTGCATCTCAGAGTCCATCCACAGCTTTGTAGCTGCCTCAGACTCACTGCAGCAACACACGAGTACAAAACATCAATGTGCTGGTCAAGGGGAAGAATATTTATACTCTATTTAATTTTAGAATAAACCACGTTAATTAAAAACAGGTCATGCAGTGACGTTAATTAGGTGTTTCTAAATTAATCCCACCTCTTAGGGAAATATCGTGCAGCAACATCAGGTTCAAGTACATTCAGGTCATCTAGGTAGATATCCTCAGGACCCTGATGCTGGCTCCTCTTTGGGACACCTTGGATCAACAACAGAAGTATTTATCACTTAATCAGAACTAACCGGGAGACAATTGAAAAAAGGGAAATGGGAACCACCGTGTGTACCTTTCTTCTTAGAGGGCGAGTCGCTCAGTTGGCTGTTGGAAGGGGTGGAGGTTGCCACATTGGGTGGGAGGACATCCAGAGGATCTGCGGGGGTCAGGGGACTCTCAGAGGTTATGATGTCGATGGATTCCAGAGGCATCACGGGTGTTAAAGTGGTGATGGGGGTCCGTGGCTCGGGTTTGACGATGGTACACACTGAGGAGGAGGAGGAGGACGCGTCTCCCCTTTCAATCTCAGAGTCATCCTCCATGGCCTCAGAGCTGAGGATGACCCGGAAGTGGGTGCTCTCTGATGGGGTGATCCTCACTGTTTTTAGTAGTTCTGCTTTCTCCTTCTTGGGGACCTGGATTTTTGATATGGAAAAGAAAGTTACAAAAAGGAGGGGACACTGAGAAATATGTACCTCTGAATAAGCCTCATTCACCAATATCTTTATAAGCTTTTTCCTACATTTTTCCTGATAAAAGTATACATCAGATTAGGGCTGCTCGATTATGACAAAAATCATAATCTCGATTATTTGGGTCAATAATTGCGATTATTAAATGCGATTATTCATTGACTTTGAAAACATCCATTTATTGGAGAGAAAAAATGTGAGCAGTATGTTTTTAACAGTTGATTACCCTGAACTTTACGTATAATTCAACTGAAAACCCCCCAAAAAAAAAAAAAAAGTAATAATAATAATAAAATAATAATCGTTTTATTTCGATTACGTTGTTTTCGTAATCGTTGCAAGCCATCATCGTAATCGCGATTAAAATACGATTAATTGAGCAGCCCTACTGAGAGATATGTACCTCTGAATAAGCCTCATTCACCAATATCTTCATAAGTCTTTTCCTTCATTTGTTCCTCATAAAAGTATACATCAGATTTGTGACTTGTTATAATGATGCATCCCAGTGTCATTGTAAATTGAAAGCATATTCAAGCTGATAATAATTAGAAAACGGTAGCTCTAAAAATAGATGTAAAAAGGGCATGAAACCGTCCGCACACACACAAAGAAATGCCACAACAGAATCCTATAGGAGGGTGGAGCACTGGTCTCCAAACATAATTAAAAACACCTCAATAATTCTGCAGGATGTGAACGCCATCATAGTAGCCGCCGCAGTGGATATACAATCAAATAAATTAGATGAATACAAAAGGTTTGATCACTGAAATGGGATGAGGAATTCCCAATTAACAGAATTGAAGTGAATTAAAGAGTTTGGTGTTCATTTATAATTAAATACCATAATGCTTTGTAAAATAATTAGGACAAATAATATTAATGATAAAAAAGTGATTGTAATGTCAATTCTACAAATATTATACAACTGTAGAATTAAATATTTGTGCTGTTGAGTGTGCAAGAAATAATTCCAAATAAAAAATAACATTGTTGAATGTCTTAATCTTCATGAAAACTGCAAAAGAGGGTTCTTAAAAAAGCATTTCTGGCTGGTGAATGAGACCTGATGTTAGTGGAGAGAGACGCTTATTACCCTGGTGGTTTCTGGGAGCTCCCCCCAGGTCCACTGCATGTGGGACTCGGCTCTGAGCATGCTCTCTGAGGGCCGGACCATCAGCTCAGAGTCACTCTTTGGGGAAAAGGCCTGAGACAAGCCATGACTGAAGGGATAGATGAACAAATGCAAACAGTCAGTGAGATAGATTCTGTTTCTCTGCCACGCCCTGGCTGAGGCTCTGTTCACGTCAATACATACCTGTCATGTGACGGCCAGTCCCCATCAGACAGCGGATAACCATCAATGCTGTGTCTGGCTGCAGGTAGTTTGGGGTCAATGTCTCGCATTGTGGACAGTGAAGGTGACCTAAAGGGGAAACCAGTGTTCATTTGGTGAACAAACACTATGACTAAATGAACTATGTGAGTGAATAACCTTTTTATCTAAGTTATATCTAGTCTACAGCGACAGCACACAATGAGCACAGGACTCAAGAGTCACTTTCTTAAGATAAAGTTAAAAAGGACAACGACAAGGCTCGGGAGAAAAAGAACAAACAGATATTTTGCCAAAATAGATTGCCTGATATAATCTGATAACTAAAATGTCAACCATTTTCACTAAAACTATACCAAATACTAAGGGTGTTCTTTGACTAAGAAGACTTATGGCGCATTTCCACTGCAGCGGGTAGCCCCGTTTAAGCGTCCTTAAATCGTCCTCAAGCGGCCAGGCCAGTTTTTGGTGGCTTCCATATAGCCGTTGCACCGGCTCAGCGGGTACTTCATTTCCTCTTTGTCTCCGGCCCCCATAAAAATCGTGGTGCTATCAGGCCAGGGCCAAGGCTGAACTAGTGATGTCAACACTTCTCGACTGCTGATTGGTCAGAGAGAATACGTCACAAGGTCGCGCGCGACGATGCATCCCTAGCGTGCGCATAGATATATAGAAGCAAGCTTGCAGCATTTTTATACACAGGCATTTTTGTAACGGGGGAGGAGCTTACCAAAAAATTGTCAAACGTCAAAGGAAAGCACCACCGCGTGGTCGAGCCACGACGAGGCTGACGACGTCCTCACATTCCGTAAAAAAAAAAGCCGGGATCCGCCCGCCTACACTGGCGTTGCTACCCCAGGTTCCTAAACTGTTTAAAATGGAATGCACCACGGCCTTCGGCGGCCACGGGCGTCCAGCTGAGGGAGACGCTTAAGGGCGCTTTACGGAGCTAACCCCGCTGGAGTTGGAATGGGCAATTAAATGCCTGAGAATCTTCACTTGTTAAAAGACAAGATAATAAGGGATAAAGTGGTTTTATTGATACTAAACAAGACATTAGCCACCAGTGACTAAGGACTAATGGGAAGTGATTATCTGACGTGTTTACTAGGTGAAGCACAATTATTAATATCACTTTCTTAACAGGTGGCTTACCGAACCTTCCTTGGAGATGGTTGCTGATCCGCCCTGCGTCTCATTGTGTCTCATTGTTTTCTCACCAAGATCCTCAATGTTGCCCCCGGCTGGACATAGGTGTGTGTAGCTGTCTGTGATGTGTGTGATAGCGTTTCCAGACTAGTCCGAGGCNTAGTGAGATTAACAAAACAACAAGTCTAACATCTTTACATATTCTGATTTAAGGGCAGTAATGAAATGTACTGCACTACATTGTCTTAGGCTTTTTAGCTTTTCACTCTCATCCTTAATTTTTACCACAAATTGATCAAGCATGTAACAGGGTGATTTAGAGTATCACCCTGTGCTACTTTTGTATCAGCCTTTCTACACATTGTGAAGTATTTCTTGTCAAAAGACATGAAGCCATGAAAAAAGAGAACTGTGTGTAAGGCACCATCTGTGGAGGTGCAATGCTATTTAAAGCTGCAAATTGAACACCTATGGCACCTACATAAGGCTTGTTACTTGACTAGTGTGATCACTGCAGATGGAGACAAGGAGGTGAACGACATCAAATCGTTTTGATGATTAAATAAAAGAAAGAAAGGTTAAATAAGTTGAGCATTTCATTTCCCCTCTTAGACATATTTTTCAAGCTATTTTATTGCCACGGACAAATTTAAAGTCCTTCTCAAACAGCCGTTATTAATTCCGTAATCCACGTTGAGTTATGTTAACCTTTTTAATTATCTTGAAGCTAGCTCAATCTTTTGACGCAGGTCTGACATCGCCCACTCTGTGAGGTTTATAGGTGGTCAACATGAAACAGGTCTAGATTGACTGAAACTTATTATCTGTGTGACCCTTTGGGCCAACCTGTGACATGTGAGGGAAGAGCACAGGGACTATAATGAGCCCATTTACATTTCAGTCTGTAAGCACACACGGCCATAAGCTGCGGTTGAGACAGCGCCTGCCCTATGGGCCAGTAATCCTCATTAGTGGGGAACAGTCCATAATGTTCTCTGGGTATGATGGAATATATAAAGTTGTTATGTGACCTTCTATGAACGGTCTTAAGCACCAATCTGCTTTGCCTGGTCTGCTTTGTCACGCTCAGATTTCTCTGACTTTTACTCTACATCTGCTACGTTTTGCAGCCTTGTTCTCAGTGATGTAGGATGGGAATATCTCTGTGTTTGTGTGACTAATATCTAAATGTGTTTGTTTGAATGATTAAGGTCAGACGTGTTTGGACAGATCCTGCCACAGTTGGGGAAGGACTGGACCCACCAGGGCATTGCCAAGCTCTACCACTCAGTAGCTGAGTAAGTGCGCAACAACAACAACACTGATTAATCACAGAGGAGCGATGAGTGGTCGGTCAGTGGTTAGCACTGTCCGGCTTTGATTCCCTATAGTCTCTCTATGGACATGATATTACCTCCCTGTGTTTGCGTGGGGGGTTTTAAGGGTGATGAGTCAGGAAGTTCAACTTTATTCCACACAGAGATATTTTAGACACTAAAAAGATGGAACTCCATGTCAGTGTTTGACTTTTCTCGTTGTAGTTTCTTTGTGAGTTAAAATGACCTTAACCTGTCCTCAATGATTGAGTCACGCAGACAAAAGAAACTGGAAGCACACAAAATAGGTTGTAGTGACCTAAGTAGTAATAGTATATAGAAGAAACACTTTGATTGATTCGGTATTACTGCAGGGCGGCATGTGTGACGTCAGCTTAGTTAAATCATTGAAGGAAAAGATACAATGGCAGTTTAAGCTAATGTTGGGCTGTTTGCCTTATGGTTTAAAGAGAATAACTAATGTTTAAAAGAAACGTTTACACAAGAATGAAATTCAATATTTAAAACCCTTATCAAGCTACATCCCACTTTGAAAAAGCACGTTGCATTAACTTACAGGTGTTAAAAAGTTATAAATGGCAGCCCTTTGCTTTCGGCTACTTTCTGCCAGAAGTATCATTCAAATTTATATATATTCATAGAGAAAGTCGATTTTTTTATTAAATTGTGCTAAATTCCCGATCTGGACTGTCCTGGAGATTTTACGGAAAGTAGTTGTCTAATGGCAATCAGCTGGAATAGCTAATGATCGATGGTACAGTATGACATCAGCAGCACATTATGAAAGCATGTGATCTTATTAAAGTGCTATTCTTAGTAATGGCTAATGATGGTTGTGATATTGAGCTGTGTGTGAACAACTGTTAATGAGCACCGTCTCCTAATTGACAGGAACGGCTACAAGTTCCTGTACTGCTCAGCGCGAGCTATCGGTATGGCGGACATGACACGAGGTTACCTGCAGTGGGTCAATGACGGAGGCACCATTCTCCCCCGGGGACCCCTCATGCTTTCTCCCAGCAGCCTCTTCTCCGCCTTCCACAGGTACGAGAGCATTCAGTATTAATGACTACCAGTTTCAGTTTCATTAAGAAAGATCTGTCTTATCCTGAAGTCGTCTCACACATTAAATCCCCCTTATTACAAATCCTCACTTTCAGGGTGCAATCCTTTTTGTCAGCAAATTCAATTTCATATTAAGTTTCTCAGACTCCAAATCTTCTCTAAATCCTTATTCATTATAATAAGCCGGAGGTGTTAAGGCCACAGAAAAGTCAAACTGAATGTGAAGCTCAGAAGGTGTTAACCGTGTCGGTAACCTTGCCATCAGCCCCTAGTAAGTGTTTGTTATGCCTGCACTTCCTTTTAAATCTTTATTTCTGGTTTCCACTGTCGGCTTTACACTGTTGAGAGTTTTGTCCTCACAGACGGAGACAGCCGCCATGCAATGCCCTTGATGGACAATTGACATGTTTATTAAGACTAGCATCTAGCTGGGAATAACAACTGATAGTGGTACTGTACCTCAAAGAAAGGATTTTTGTATTAATAGCACAAATTATTTAGGAGATTATGCCAAAATATATCTCAGAATATAACAACATTTTATGTGATAAAATGTGTTGATGTCAATTTAATTAAAATACCATAACACTACGCATAAGGTGGCAGATGTAGCTTTGCACGTGCATGATTGTCATTCACTGAATAAAAGTGCCCATCTGCTGTCCTCTGGCTTGAATACCGAATACTAGGGCTGCTCGATTATGGCAAAAATCATAATCTCGATTATTTGGGTCAATAATTGTAATTGCGATTATTAAATGCGATTATTCATTAACTTTGAAAACATCCATTTATTGGAGAAATAAAATGTGAACAGTATGTTTTTAACAGTTGATTACCCTGAACTTTAAGTATAATTCAACTGAAAAAACAAAAAAAAAAAAAATAGAAAAAAAAAAAGGATACTACCGAATACACACACACACACACACACACACACACACACACACACACACACACACACACACACACACACACACACACACACACACACACAAGGGTTATGACCATTAACACAAACTAGCTGTTAAACAGTAATCACCCATTAGAGATAACTGGAAGTTTTCTCAAGAACAGTAAATCCTGATGAATAATCAATCCCTGAGAACCTTCATCCCTAGCAGACGAGAGACAAATCGTCATCTAATTGAAGACATCCGAACCCAGCGAGAGATCTGTCCTCCCCGTCAAAGTGCAGCGATAAAGATCTGAGCATAATCTTTGTTCTCTGTAACTTCTATAAACAGGATGGTCTGCACTTCCCATCAGGGACCCACTGAAGCCCCACACGAGGCATTAGCCTTCAGCGCTAGAGTCTGCACTCTGCAGAAGGAAAATACATCTTTCTCGAATCAACATTTTGTACATGTCCTGAATGCCCTGACTAAGCCAAGTGATATGTTCAAAGCAAAGAAAACGCACAGGGTAGGCAATAAACTCTGGCCACTAGTTATATGCTGGTAATATTTAGCTGTGGCTGCTATGTTTGCATAGACACAGGTCTCCAGTCCTTTCTCTGTTCAAAAACATAAAGTATTGAATAGGGGATCCCTGCTTCACCACCTATGAACCAAGCCTTGACTCAAGAATCATGTTTCCATATGAAAGTGCAATGCCAATTATGTACATTTGTTTTTGACCTGGAACAAATATGTTTCTAATCAAAGTCTTCAGAAGTTTGCATATAAATGAGTTGGTCTATTATAGGATTGACCCCCAAGAGACTGCTGTTTGTTAACCATGTGATACTAAAAGTCTGTTGACCTTTTTCCTACTTTACTTCAATGACCACAACAACAAGCCAAACCGTGATCTTTTTTTACCAAAACCAAGTCTGGTTTGTTTAAATTTACAAAAAGTTCAAACTTTGTCACTGAGAAAAATGCGTTTCTTCAAAAACACAATTGGGAATGCAGTTTAATTGTACAGGAATGTTATGTTGTAGGAGACAAAATAAGGGTTATGTGAGCCATACACCGCAGTTCATTTCTCCCAAACTTTGTGTCGGTGTTCAGTTTGGTTGCTGACTCTGGATCTGTTCATTAGTTTGCTGTTTGCTGATCACAGCTTTCCCTGCAGGACTTACCACGTTCATAGCTAATGAGTCATGTTTGTTACCGTTAATATTCAAGGTCATACCAGGGGTACATTTTTGCCAACAAGTATGTGAAGATACACAGTTAGATGAAGGAATTCATTGTATTTTGTGTAGCTGTTATTTTAATATGATTATTCTGTTCTACAAGCTCTGGCGAAATCAAGTGTATTTTGTTAACAATGCAGTCATTATTTATAATAATTGGTATGTTTAAGTTATTGATTTCTATCGTGATGCCTTTGCTTGTCTGAAAAAGTAATTTATTACCAATGCAATGTGGAAATACTTCAAAATGCTACTTTGTATGGTTGGTCATTGGTTAACATGCACTTAACAGTAACTGCTCGGCCTTGTATGGTTTCTTTTTTTGCCTTGTATCCTATTTTCACAACGATCTGTATTCCTTGTTTTACATTGAAACTTCCAACATCCTAAGGAACAGACACATTCCTCAGACGTTCTCAGAATCCGCAGCTTTAGTGTTCAAATATGTGTATGAAAGAAAAGATAACGCTTGAGTTGAAATAAGCATATCTGGAGAGAGGGCTTAACATGAAGGATTTACCCTTTGGCGAGGTCCTCTGTAGGATGACGATGGGAAGATGTGTGTGTGCGTTTTTAGTCACTGAGTTGTGCTGCTGTTGGGGTGACTGACATGATGCAATCCTCCTTTGTTCCCTCAGTGGCTTTAATAAGATTTACCCAACGCACTTTGTCTAAGCTGCACCTCTGACCCGCATGCACTTCACTGAAGGGCCTCGACAGACAGAGTATCAGTTTTTCAGAATTATGTCAATATGAGGAATGTTGAAAGGGGATTTGAAGGCTTCAAAGCAAGAAGAGGGGATGAAAAACAAAATAATGTTCAAATAGGGAGCTGTGCAAAGTGTGTATGAGTGTGTCAGAGCTGCAGCGATTGGTTGACAGGGAAAAAACACGTACTTTTCGGATTATCGAATACTATTTTTCATTGATTAATCGTTAGTCAACTGTTGTTTTCAGCCTCTAAAATACGGACATTTCTGGATTATCTCAGTTTTATTTTATATTAAATTAAATATATTTTGGTTTGTGACTGACAGGACCAGACGTCATATCGGTCTTTGAAAAAAAGTGATGCAATATTTGTATTTTTCCCCAACAATTTACCAAGTGATTAATCGTGAAAATAGTGGGCAGATTTGTCGATAATGAAAATAACTGTTCCAGCCCTATTGGAGGGGGGGGGGGTGTGTGTGTGTGTGTGTGTGTGTAGGACTATTGGCTGATCCTGTGCCTCTGGTAGCAGAGGAAGAGCCTTTGGGTCTTGTTGGGAGGTAAACAGGAAATACTTGAGGAAGCGTTCTGAAAGCGCTTCACTGGCATTATGTGTGTGTGTGTGTGTGTGTCTCGTAGGAACAGAGAGATGTGTGCAGATGTGCCGCTCCACTGACATGCATCATACCTCCAGCACAAGTGTAACAGTCCCATGATAATATGTGCGAGTGAGGATTCAACATTAAAAAAAGAGTCTGACTGAGACTTAACAAAAGCACAAGTTAGCATCATGGCTACATCCGCTATTACCGTCATTATTTGGCTGAAGTGTTTTCACGCTGTCGCTCAGATGTTTTTGTGATGATTAAGATGCGTGTTTTGATTTATTTACTTGTTCTCTTCGAAGTTTGGTGAAGTCAAATAGATATATATCTTATGATTAACAAAATGAATTCCATTCTTTCTATGAAAGTAAAGCACCTTGTGTGGAAGAATCACACTTCATCCTCTATGATCCTGGGATACGTGGTATAAATAATATTGTTTGTTCTCACTCAACTGCTGTGGAAAAGTATCCAGTATATATGCTGATCATCACATTCTTCTGTCTTCGATGCCTTCTTCTTTTAGATTTTATTATTTCTTATAAAGTGTATGATCTTTCTGTTTGGTTCTTTCCATTTGAAGGTAACGCTTGCTCTTTTGATTGTGTCTGACCAACAGGAATACCTTAAGTGTATGCTGTATTTGATTTGTATAAAATGTGGTTAAAAGTATGTTTAAAGAACAAAATACATTGTTAGACGAAAAAATATTCAGGCCTAATGAAGCTAACAGAGTGTGGCTTGTGGTCATATTTGTATTAAAATAAAGTTTCTAACTGAATACTTTAATGTTTGACCCACTTTTATTGTCTCCATGAAAGGATCAACAATAACCAGAGGCTAGAGATTTAACTTTTACCCTGTTGCTCATTTGTTAATATCAATGCTTTAATACCTCAGGTAATTCCACGTTTGCTTTATTGAATAACACAACCAAATAACATTTCAATTCCTTACTGGTGAATAGAAATGAGTGTTTTTCTCCTTTCAAGGTTAACAGAGGCTGATCTGAACTGCTGCTGCTTACAGTTTGCTGTGTTGGAATATTTTAAGTCTCAGGAGTGAGGTGAGGGGAAATGTATTTTTCATCCTAACCCACTTTACATAATGACCCAAATGGGGGTTCTCATTTTTCTCAGTGCTGTTTCTGAAGCCAGCAAAGTTTCTTAGATTAAAGAGGACCTATGATGCTCATTTCCAGGTTCATATTTGTATGTCTCCATGCTTTAATGTTCAAAAAGCTTTTTATTTTTCTCATACTGCCTGTGCTGCAGCCCCTCTTTTCACCCTCTGTCTGAAACCAGAGTCCAGTCTGCTCTGATTGATTAGCTGGCTGGTTCTGTTGTGTTAGGCTAGTGACATCTCAAGACCAATCACGTACATTATGTTGGAGAGCTAGCCAATAGAAGCACCAGTGTTACATTATGATGTCAGTATGGTGCAGAAGTAAACAAAGGAGTCCAATGGAGGCGTTTCAGGCAGGGGGGGGGGGAACTTTGGGATTGTAGCCTTTGCAGACCATTTACATGCACAAAAGCCTATATACTATATAACACACTACA